AGATGTCACCTTATTTTTTTTTTTAATATAAAAAATAGAAAGGTGCGGTACAAATGACTTGTAGAAAAATTCTTTAAAGTGCAAACTACACTGTAAACCTTTAAAATAATCAATTTTACTTTAATGTCAGAAACAGATAATAAATAATGATTTTGAAAGAAACGATAATAAATATATGTTTAACTTTATTCACAGTTTTAAAAACTGTTTTTATCAGAACTCATATTACATGTACATAAGTGCCATGGAATCTTGAGTCCCGTACATTTTATTTGGATGCCTATCATTTTAACTTGCTTGTTAGACTCATTGTTGTTTGAACTGTGTGATTCAGGCTGACTACTTCCTACAACATATATCAACATTTGATAAATCACAGTGGATTGAAGAATTCAAAGACAAGAATATTTACACTGAAGATTTTGATCACGCATCATTTTTTGTTGTGTTGGAACAGGCGACCAAATGCCTGAATAGAGTTAAAAAACAGCGACCTGATAGCGTAAAGGTAAATTATGTGTAACAAATTTACAGTGCTTTGGTTCCATTAAATTTGTTCCATAAGTTTATGCTTGAATTTTATGGATACTTGAAATCCACTTTGTGTTGCTCTAAGCCAAGGGTCACCAAATTTTTTTCACTGCTGGCCGGATAACAGACAAAATGAAGCGCGCAGGCTGTATAATAATTCTGTACAACACTTGCAAGCCAGAACTAAAACTCTGATCAAAAAGACAAAAAACTGAGTTATGTACTCCATATTTATCATGGGTGAGTGGCGAGCAATGCACAAAAAACAAAGACAACCAACATATTTATTTACTAAAATATTTATCAAAGAAGGCTATGTTAGCAAAAAGATGGTTACCGGTACATCAGACCTAGTGCGCACATTCCAATCTCACAAAATGTTTGCTCAAAGACAAAAGTTGTTCCATACACTGTGGCCATACAAGTGGCAAATTTCTTCAGTTTTGGACACTCGCTTTCCAAAGTGACACCACAAATAAACACGAGAAGTTGTGACGTATCCAGAGATCAGTAGACTCATCTAGCGCCAGAGAATACCACAGCAAGTCCCCAGCTTTCTCACATGTCTGTAGCACTATGTTCTTTCCAAGTTATTCTGATCTTTGCACAACTGAACTTGCCGAAAGACTGTGGCGAGTACAATTTTGAATGCCCCATATGTTACCAGCACTCTTCTTCCCTTCATCCAGTTATCAGACTATAATATATTAGCAGGAATAGGCTTAATTGATATTGATTCTTATTTAATATTTTTAAACCAGCTTTTCCTAAAAAATAAATCTCAGTTTACCTAGTAGCTTTTTTAAATGACGTCATCATTTGTTAATTAATTCTTATTGAAATACATTTTATTTTATGCTGATCTGACTTCGAGTTTAAACCACGTTAAATTTCAACAGTAATTTTATTTTTATCAGCTAAAAACTGTGATAGTGTGATCTGTATGTCCACTTTATATATGCAGTTCTATCTATTCAATGATAAAAAAAATAATTTTTAAATCAAATTTTGGAGAAAGAGCTCTCTAATTTCTATGTCATAAAAAAAACAAAGCGGACTTCCAATACTTTGTTTAATTATTCACATTGAATGAGAGAAAGAATATTAACTCCCTTGAGACTAAGCCCTTTGGACTTTTGGTACCAAGAAGATGGAGGCCTTGTCACAAGCCCAGTACTTACTTTGCAAAAAAAGAAATAAAAAATTAAGTTACTTTACAAATATAAAACTATATACACAGGGTTGCCCAAAAAATTTGATAACAGCGCTTTATAGTCAAAAGCATATTCGAAGTGCCAACACTTACAAAAAGTCTTTGAGACAGGGAGATGGGGGGGTGGGGGATAGATTGTACATGTTTTCTGATTAGCGTAATAATTTTCATACAACTGTCAATGACAAAACATTTTATAATACAATTATGTAACCCTTTGTTATGAGATGTTCTCACTTTTTCTTGGCCGCCCTGTATATTCTTGTAGGGAATGAACTAATGCAGTCTTTAAGAATCAAACTGAAACCTCAACATATATGCGAATGAAATCCAGATTTGCATACTTTATGCTTTTAACTTTTTTTACACTTAGAATAAGCTCGTTTGTCTTGCAGAATTGTGGTTAATTTCTTGATTGTTGAAGTCTAAATAAGTCCAAAAAGCATTTTAATTAGATTCAATGTGAAACACTGCATAAAGTATTCCACTGGGTGTGGTTATGCCTTGAGGCATGTTTCTAGGTCACATATTTTTTAAGCATTTAAGGGGGTCACTTTGTGCCCCAAACAAATGATAAAAGTGATAGAACACCTACAAATCAATGGAAGCCGCTATTAAAATGGCGAGATGAGTAAGAAATGTGAGAAGCAGTCTGATTAGCTGGTACGAAGACAAGCCAGCCATGAAGCATGGCAGATAGATCAGCCCTTTGTCTTCTTCATAATTCGACTCTTGGGCCGATCGCTATCGATCCTGTGATCTCAAGAGCGTTAAATTATAATTTTAAATATTCATTTAAGTTTCTTTGATTTGGTTATTAATTTAAATGTATTTTTGTACAGTTGCTTGAAAGGATATCAACTATCTATAAAGAGATAAAGATGAAAATTGGTGAGTATATTGAAATGGTCTATTTGTTGACTAAAATTGGGAGTTCAAAGTGAGGTCATTGCTCTTGAGTGACAAAATTTGGCCTGTTATAATACTTGATTGTTTAAAATATTTCAAAATGATCACATTAGTTAACAAAACAATTTAGCCTGTCATATTACTTGATTGTTTAAACTATTTCAAAATGATCACACCAGTTAGTAAAACAAGTAAAACAAATCATCACAACATGAGGCTCTGAAGTCAAAGATTTCAAGTAATAAAATTGATATCATGATCCCAATATAAAATACATTTTTTACAATCTTTCAGTGTTTTATTAAGGGTACCCATAAAAAAATTTCAACCTTGAATCATATAAGGATTGTTACATTTATGTATAGCTGCCTCACAAATGACACAATAAATGAAATTTCATTTCCTCAATAAATATTGTGATCTTTGGAAGTGGGATTTTTTTTTTTTTTTTTTACTATTTTTTGGAATAAAAAATATGAAACTAAAAAGATTTATTCCTATATTTGTTTTATTCTTATTGGTATATAAGATTTTATTATTACTTTTTAGCACATTCGCTATTTTTTCTTTTTCTCCTTTTTTTCTTTAGATGAAAACAGTATGCCGCCAACTTCTTCACTTATAGGCACATGCCCTTCAGATCGGCCCAATATATCTCAATACTCATATTTGACTTCTTTCATTGGCCCATCCTATGTGTCCACAGGCCCATCCTATGTGTCCACCAAGCAACAGCAAATTGAACATGAGCAGGGGGAAAAATTGAATTCCTACCACCAAATGCGACCAAGCCTCGCCCCAAGTCAAGCCGCCAGGCAAGAGGACTCGATGTCCCAAAAAGAAAGCATGCCGCAGGACCTGCCCCTTCCATTAAGGCTTCAGGTTGCTTATGACGTACAAGGCGAACAAGCGTTTCGTGGAGGTAACCCGGCAAACACGGTGGATGAAATCAGTTTTGATATTCCCAAAGCTGATCCCCTTAAACAGGCTCAGCTGGACATGTTTGATCATCATAACTTGAGCAACTCTGGTGAAGAAGATTCAAAGTGTCTACAATGTGATCCAGCCAAAATTGCATATCTGCATGACTTTGATGACAATGCCTTCAAGAATCCACCTCATCAGCCTGCATCTGCTAGGCCACTGCAGTCGACACAAAACTCCACTACTGGAATATTACATCGAAATAATTCAAATGGAAAGGTACACTATCCTCCCCCACTTGAAACCATTAAACCGTTAGTGTCTGGTGTTTCAATCCAAAATGGCAGTTTCCACAGCACACAGAGTGATGTGAGCACGAGTTCTGGAAAAAGCAAGTGTTCAGAAGGCAAATCTAAAATAATGGATTTTTTTTCTGCTTATAATAATTTAAAAGAAAACTGTGATGATGAGGACTGATCTTCAGGTGGAGAAGTAACCTTGGTACCTGATAAAAATCTATTTTTAGAGATGATAAGCTTTTGTGCCTTCAATGCAAGCCAGAATAATTCAATTGTTGATTTGGTGTTGCATAACCAGGTGGGATGTATAGAGTTGAAGTAGGACTAGCTTTTAAAGGCTTAAAGATGAAAATGCTATCATTAAATTGTGTAAAGTTGAAGGACTAACAGGTCATTCAAAATGGTGTATGCTTAAAATTATTTCACATAAACTGGGAAATAGGGTTTAAAAAATATCATTAGTCTTAAAACATAACGCTCACAGGAGTATTACACTCCTCATTACAATGAAAGTATCTTTATTCCTGAACTGGTGGCACTGAAAACATTTCATATTAATGTTTTTTTTTTATACAGTTTCTTTGTCAAAGTGTTTGAAGGGGAGGTTTTATGTTGATATGTTAAAATGTCATGAGAATAAAAAGAGCTTCAGAGCTTCTCAGTAGCTAGGATATTGCTAACAGTTGATATTTCTTATTCATTCTGATTATTTGAAAAGATTATTCACTGTATGAGACATTTCTTCCTTATTGCCAAACATGTTACTTTTCTTTATAATTAATTAATCTGTTTGGGTTTTTGTTTTTAAACTTTAAAAAAATAGTTGAATCAGGCTGTAATTTCATTATTTAACTGGTTGACAGAATCAGCTTTGGGGGAGAAGTTATTACTTTTTGATTTCACTTATTGTCTTGCTATTTAATCCAAACTGTTTCCTTTGATACATTTTAATGAAGAAAACAAATTTCCATTTTATTTTATACATATAATAATATGATCACCACAGTTAGCACAAGAGTTCACATGTAAATATTATTGTATTGCATGAGCTTCTCAATTATTTCAGTTTATGTTCATTGTTGTGATAAGTTTGCGCTATTTTATGTGCAGTTCATTAAATTCTTGTTAAAAAATAACATTGTGATAATGTTTATACTTCTTTATTATGGCAATGTATTCATATGTTCATGTATCAATAAATTACATATGCTTAAATTATTTTTGTTCTCATCTGTTGCCTTCGAAAATTATTTTCTTTGCAATAATTAAGACAGAATTTCATAGGACCACATAAGATAGAGATAATTGTTTTTTTTAAAGTAACCATAAGTACCTGACAGCACACTTTTCAATGTCCTGATTACCATATGGACTTCTTTTTTTAAAAATAAAAGTTTTAATGACACAATATCTCATGCTAACTGTTAACAAAGAAATTTCCTTCAAACCTATTATTAGAAAGCATCACAGTCAAAGCATGACATAACTTATATTTTTAATATTCACTTTGAAGTCTTGCACATCAGGTTCTTCTGTTCTTTAACAAGTCCATGATAAATAATGACAAATTTACTAGAATTTATTAATTTACAAAAGTGCCAATGCAAGAAAAAAACTGGACATATCTTGAACTTAAATTATACAAAAAAACAATATTCTTTCATAATTTGTGTACAATAAATAGCAAGCGTAAACTGACATGAACTCAATAACTCAGTTGTTTTTTTAATTTCAATATTAACATTGAAAGGGTAATAAAATATTTTTAATTCCTTTCGCTTAACAAGTGTGCATTTTTGAAATGGCTATTGGCAACAAATCATAACATGTTAATGTTTGATTATAAATTAACACAGAAAGCTTAAGAGTCATTTTTCTTCATGGTAAAGCACACTGTTACATCCATGTAGATCTACATGATAACAATAAATTCTCAACCCCGCCCGCTTTAACTATCAGATTTGCACAATAGGAAAAGAATTTGGAAATATTTATTAACAAAATTTGAGCTCTAGGTAAATTGATCTTAATTTTTTTTTTATTTTTCATTGTATTCTGGATCAAAAATTTCTTGGGGAAATTATATTTTCTAGGTGAAAAGAAAATCCAAACTAAATGAATGGAAGTATAAATATTCAAGAGACATTAGTTAGAATGTAAATACTAAAAATTGATCGGCTTTCCAAAGTATGCGGCAATGTTTGCTTCCCTGAAAGCTTCAGAAACAGTCTGGGGAAGAAGATGATCAAACATATAACTATGTACTTTAAACAAAATTAAACAAAAGTCCTTTATATGCATTTTTATTGCATTTATGTAATTTTACATGATTTATCATTTTTGTGATTGTAAACTGATCTTTGGTATGTGAATGGTTTTTATCAAACAGTGCATGTAAAACTTAGTAGACTACAAATTTAAACCCAAATATTCTACAAATACAAAGCACTAGCAACAGCTACACTAGCAAAAGTTACTGACTGTGATAAAAAATAAAATGACGTGTGGTGTGGTACAAAATTATTCATAAGCTACAGTATATATTTTGCAGCAAATCTATCTTTTCATAGATACACTAAATAGATGTGGTACCATATATTGCATTAAACTCATTTGCTTTCAAAAATCCATGGGGGGGGGGAGGTGGAGGAGAGAGACTGTTAATTATAAACTGAAGCTGACTTACTGGATGTGCATGGCAGACTCTAGCTATGTCTTCACAAGAGGCTCCATATTCCATGGCCAAAGCAGCCTCATTGATTAATTCTCCAGCACACTGAAATAGTTTGAAATATCAATCATAAAGACAATTAAACTAAATTTCAAGAAAATAGTTTCTGCTTGTAGTTTTAACCTTAATGTTAATTTTTTTTTTTTAACTGAAAAAATTGACAAGATGATGTTATCACCTCCTGTATAAGAAAGTGTTAACAAATTACCAGTTGGGTAAAAATGTATTTTTTACAAAACAGCTAACAGACATTATGACTAAAAGCCTTCAGCTGAAATTCCCTCCTTCCTTCCTTATGCCTTTTACCCCGCCTGGAGCATAGGCCATCTACAAAAATTTTCCATTCATCTTGGTCCTGTGCTTGCCTTTCCAGTTACTTCCAGGTGTATGCCATACTGTGTGTCTGCCTATAGCTCTTCCTTTTTCCATAATGTGCTTTCCATGTTAGGCCTTGTTTGATGATGTTATCTAAGTGTTGCGAAGAGTGTGTTCTATCCATCTCAATTTTTTCCTTAGGATGTCTTTAGCAATAGGCTCTTGGTATGTCCTTGTTGGTGATGATGTCTGGCCATTTTTTGTTCAGAATATTTCTAAGGCAAGTGTTTGTGAATGTCTGTACTTTCTGCATGATGCTTGCTGTTCTCCAAGTTTCGGCTCCATAGAGTAGGACAATTGTGTTTAATATGTTTTGCCTTCAATAAAGCACCACTTTACAAACTAAATATGATTTGAAGCAGTCCAACATCGTCTAAGTAGAAATCCACTTTGAATACTTACTGATGCAATTATATGGGCTCCTAGAAGGCGATCAGTCTTCTTGTCAGACAAAACTTTGACAAATCCATCAGTGTCATTGTTACACTTGGCTCTGCTGTTAGCAGCCAAAGGAAAAGAGCCAACTTTGTATTCTACACCCTAAAAAAAAATTGAAAATGAAGAAAAGGGAAGTTAAAAAATAGAACTATAAAAAATAACAGCTATTCATACAAAATAATAGACTATTCCAATAAAATAATAAACTAATGCAATAAAAAAAAATGTATACATGAAATTACTAATAGCTAATAATAAAATTTTAACACTAACTGCTTCCTTGAGTTGCTCCTCATTTTTGCCCACCCAGGCCACCTCAGGATGAGTATAGATAACTGAGGGGACACAGTTGTAGTCAATGTGCACAGCACCCCCACAAATGCCCTCAACACAAATTATACCTAGTAACAGAAGATATATATATTTAATAACCTTAAATACGCCAACATTCAGACTCATTACATCACATTCAGCAAACCTAAGCAGTCAGCTTGGACACATTCCAAATCTGTCTTTTTTTTTTAGGTTTTGATAAACATTAGTTATGAACAAAAATTAATTGTGGGCTGTCTCAGCTAATTGCTCAACCCTGGGTGGAGTAGACTAGTAAGACTAGCTAGGCAGTCTTTTTTAAAAGAGGAGGTAAACCTTTAGTTTAAAATAAGTCCATCAGCAAAAGTGGAAGACATGCACAAGCAATAAAAATAAGAGGCGACAAAACTATTTTTAACTAGAGAAAGAAATCAAAATATTTCACAAAAGCTTTCAAAATAATATAATTCACTTGATGGGTCTATGATTTTTCTGAGCTGGTTTGCCATGGAATGTTTAAAAAAATTAATTCCAAGTTCAAAATCATTGAGAGCAAAGGAGTTAAATCTTTTGCACTCATTAACAGAGTGGACAGAGGTGCTTTGCCACTTGGAACATTTTAGTATAGGAGCAAGATTAAACAGAAACTCGTCCATCTCCCCCCTAGACAGCGACGAGGCCACGACAGGCCGTTCGGGCAAATAAAAACAAGAACCCAGTACAGGAGCTATTCATTCCTGCCAAAGACAATAAGGAACAAGCTTCCAAAAGCAACAGTTGACACATTTGTGTCTTTTTGCCTACTGTCTTCCAGCCCCCAGTTCATAATAGCACTCCCGAGTAGCCCTTGCAACCAGTGAAGTATCCCCTTCATAACAATACACAGTAACATTGCGAACCCCTCTGAAACGTAGTAGCTAGAATGATTAATTCATTGATCGTCGGCCATCAAAATATAGAAGAAGATTAATACGTAAGTGGAATATGGTACAGAACACAACCAGATTTTAATATAATATTGGCTCTGGGAATCCATGAAATTAGCCAACTGACCCTGGGAGTTAAAAAGAGTTTATTTCAAATATTTTATTTTGTTTCATGTAGTCAATAGAATTTGTTATCCACAGTTTCGCACAATATAGTTTTACTCAGTATAAAATACGATTTTTTTTTCGGGGTTTCATCAGATATAAGTTGTGATATCTTCATATATAAATATAAGAAAAGCACAGAATTTTTTTTTTAAATGTAATTTTTTACTTTAAAAATATCAAAATTATTATTGTGCTTTCTGAAATGATCTTACCTTCATCTTCTGCTTTATGAGCTAACATGGGTCCCTGCACACAGTCACCAATGGCATAAATGCTAAGGACATAGATGTAATCATGTTTTAGATAACTTATTGTCAAGTAAAACTCTGCGTTTTTTAAAGTTATTTAACCCTTATGGACAAAGATTCAGATTATCATAAGTTACTGATCTCATGCACACTTAAACCAGATAAGCCATCAACCACCTAATTATTCACCTAGGTACTGAGGTCTGGAAGCGTGAGTTAATTGGTACCCTCCCTTGTTTATCTAGCTGGATTCCCACAGTTTCTAGACCAATGTCTTTAGTGAAGGGTCTGCGTCCGATACAGACCAGAAGTGTGTCACACTGAAGCTGTTAGGAAACAAAATTAAAAATATCTGAGGCCCATCAACAAAGTAATACATGCACAAACCAAACAGATCCCTACATTATATCTTGTTGTATTACAAACTTTTCAATATTTGGATTAATGGTATTTTATTAAAGCATTATGCAGTTTCCATCATCAATGGCTATCGACCTGAACCACAACATCAAACTCAGACAATTCCATGGTCTGCTGTCTCCATACATGGACAAATGTGTAGCATTTGAAAGTTAATAATATGTACAGACGGCCAAAGTATTTAAATTGGATGATGAAGGGGTTTAATTTATGTGCAGCAATAAATGTATGGACCAAGAAGCTAACTAATTAATAGCCCATCCTTCTGAAGGTAGGTAACCATTATTCATGATCATATAAGGCAGGTAACCTTTTCATTATCATATAATTAGACCCTCCTCTCCTCCACTGCATTAGAAATGAAATGGATAGTCCAAGTACTAATCTTTTCTTAACAACAGGCAATAGTCCAATAAGACCTACACATAAATCGTCAAACTAATGAAGGTATCAAGAAACTAGGAAAGCCAGTCAATAAAAACGATCCAACAGATTGAAACTAAAGATTGACAAACCTCTTCTTTTTTACCATCCTTGGCACCTTCAACATTGACTGTGATGGTTTCCCCTGACTTTGCTGCTGAGATGACTTTAGTGTTGAGTTTGAATTTAATCCCCTGTTTAGCTAGAGACCTTTGGAAATTTCTAGAAACCTCCATATCAATGCCTAAACCCCCAACATGGCCAAGGAACTCCACACAAGTAACATTTGCACCAAGCCTTTGCCACACAGAGCCCTGCAAGTCAAGAAAATAAGTGCAATTTTATTATTATTGACTCAAAATCTCTAAACAAGGATGGACACAAAAAATATGTTGTTTGTTTGTTTTTGTTTTTTTTTTGGGGGTGGGGGGTGTCTTAATTTTGTGCAGCTATTTTATAGTTATTTTGACTTAATTATTACTGGAAATTATTATAACAGTTAACTAACAATTTATTTTTATTTTTCAAACAAAGGGTTGTTAATCTAAATCTGAGCGCACACACACACACTAATAAATGAAATTGAAACCTACCAGCTCTACACCAATCACTCCTGCTCCGATGAGAACTAGATTTTTGGGTACTTTTTCTAGAGATAAAGCCCCAGTAGAAGTAACAATCTGTTTTTCATCTATCTACAAAAAGAAATTGCTGATCATCATTTTAAAATAACTAATGCTATTTTATCAAAAAGATATCTTACAATATACAAAGCAAATTAATCCTTTAACGACCTAGTCGAATGTGTTGGATGAGAATATTTATATAAATGTATGTTCAGATGCAAACAAAGAATTCAATTGTGTACATCAAAGCAAACTTGTAGTTGATATTTCATTTGAATTCCTGATCAAGGATGAAGAGGTAACATCAACATGACTGCAGAGGTCTCTTATATTGTCCAACAAACCTCAATTCCAGCAAAAGGGGTGACTTCAGAGCCCACAGCAATAAGGATATTTTTGGTGTTGACTTTTTCTGTGCTGCCATCTTTCTTTGTTACTGTCACTTCATTAGGACCTGAGATTCTTCCGAAGCCTTGCAAATGGTTGATCTGTTTGGTGAATTTAGGAACAGTTGTAAACATGCACACTATCAAGATTAAAGTTTAAAATTATATCAATAATTATTTTATTACATTCTATTGGGCCACATGTAACCATACATTCTTTCAATAGGAAAAGATGACATTATCCTTCTCGATTTTTTTTTATTATTTAGTGCTTCTATTTTTTTTTTATATTTCTTTTAAATTATAATATATCCAAGTCATATCTATAAATATAACATTAAGTTAAATATGTTAATGAATACTTTAAAAATAATCAGCATGGCTTAAATTTATATTTCTAAATAGTTGACATCTACCAGTTGCATATATTGAAATGTGTCAAGTTAAAAAAGGAGATTGTAGAAAGCATACAGAATTTTTTTTAAACAAGTGAGCTATTCCTCCTGTTAAGGCTTTAACTGCATTGCTTTTTTGCTCCATCATCTTGGGAAGATTCAGTTTGAGTCCTGTAACTGATTAAACATTTGAAAAAAATGATAGATTAGCTGATGAAGTACTTATTTATTCTGACAACTAATCACAACTATATCATAAAGAATAGATTTAGAAAGTTTTACTAGTACTCTAATCCCTTTATCACAATAAATAAGAAATTATCAATACAAGCTGGGAGCGGCACTTTCAAAGTATTTATTACTTTCAGTTCAATTTTAAGGTAATTAATAATGAGAATAATGAAATTTATACTATATGGCATTTTTTTCAACATAACACTGAAATTAATTTAGATTAATTTTATAAGTTTTAAGTGTACATTTTTAGAAAGAATATACATACACTCAATCCCTCTGTTAGTGAGGTCATTATGGTTAGCCATATGGTAAAGATGAGAATTATTTAATAGAGATTTAGATGGGATGCACCCCACATTTAAACAGGTCCCCCCTAATGTGTCATTCTTCTCCACGCAAACAGTCTGAAAGCAAGATTGGAAAATGTGATAGTTATTTCTTATTACAAAGCATTTTAAGGCCATTGATAATCATGGAATACATTTGTTATAGTAGGATAACATCATAATTAAAAGATTTGCTTTATGCTACAATATTGTAGTAAGTTAGTTGAACTTCACATAATTAACTTGAATATACAAAGCCTATTTTAAATAGTAAGATATTTTTGTGGGTTAATTAAAGCATATGAATACATGCTCTAAAACATCTTAACAAATCAAAATCTACTGGTACATAGATTTATATTTTCCTGTTTTGTGATTAAATGCTTTTTTATTTGCTTTAAATTAAAGATTTTGTTTCTAATTTAGTAAGCATTAATGATGTAGGGGTGGCATGTTTCAATGCATGCACAATTGAATTGTATGGAACTGATATGAAGTTACCTTTCCATTAACTATTTCATTTGTCAATTACTCCATCTTTAGTCAACTTGAGATATTATATTATATTATTGAGTCTTGAAAAGATTTAGAAAAATTATTAAAGAATAAAGTAATAGTGTAAGGTAACCATGCGTCACGCCTCATTCCTCTATCTACTTTATGTGGATGGTAAACTCGTTCACTCTCTCTCTTACTGTAACACTCAACAAGTTGACTGGTAGCCTTTCACTTTAATCGATCTGCTCTACAATCAGAATCTTGCAACTCTGCTCCGACTGTCCCGGGTTACTGCCTTCTCCTGTCTATCTCTACTCCTGTCCAGTAAACTGTCCGACTAGCCCTCCGTACGGCTGAGTTCTCTCGACTGACCGCTTCCCTGTCCGGCTTAGTTCTCTTCGACTGTCCGTTTCCCAGTCCGGCTGAGTTCTCCCTAGTCCTGTCCAAAGGTCCCTATTTATATGTCCCTGAATAGGTCGCTGCATCACTAGAGTTTCCCCCACGTGGCTTTAATCTTTTGCTACATCTTCGGTACTAAAATCTCTTCCGACGCCTCCCGTCGTTTAAATGGATATTAACTGACCACTGGACTCACATAACGTTCCTAATAGCCTCGCCACGATGTTATCTGCCAAGCTACAATAATTGGTCAGTTGGTCAGCCTCCACCAGGTCCGGCTGATACTCAAATCTGTTCCAATGCCCCCTGTCGTTTAAATAGCCATTAACCAACAACTACTAACGTTCGCAATAGCGTCGTCACTGTGTTATAGCTACAACCGCTGGTCAGTTTGTCGGTACCCTGCTGTGGGATTCCCCCAACCCCTGTCGCACCCAGGTCTGAACTCTCCACAATAGAATAAATAACCCTAGCAGTCATTAATTTCAGATCTTGTAAATTATTAAATCCAAATTTATTAATATTTACCAATTTTTTTTTTAAATTTTGACAGGTCAACTTGACTTACTTTCAATCCCAATTGGGCTGCCTTGATTGCAGCAACATAGCCCCCAGGGCCTGAGCCAATTACAACAAGGTCTGTATCACCTGAGATCAAACAAATTTCAACTAATGAAACCCTATGAACAAGATAAGGTTTGACAAATTTACAGTTACTAAAAAATAGAGTATTGTTTAATTTTACAATCTATTTCTGTACCTCCATTTGCATAGTTTCTTGATGAAACATATAAAGAGGCAAATGTTTTGCTCTTCAGAGGGGTGTTAACCTGGGGAAAAAAAATATGACAAATTATTTAGTATTGGTAAGCAATATTCAAATTGAATTTGGTTAATAGTTACACTTTTAACTGTATAACTTATAACATTATGCTTGTGATGCGAACAGGGGAATGGGGTCAAAGAATGTGGAAATGCGGTCCATGTTAAAAAGGACAAAGGAAGTCATACATTGATTGAAAATTCATACCTCATAAACTATTAAAGATAGAACGCTACGTTGATTTTGGTTTCATTTTTTAATTTCGGCTAATTGGAGAGATAGCGTGTTGTGTCCCTGGTTCCGAAAGGGTCAAAACCCTGGTTCCAATACCAAAAAGGTCAAAACATAGGTTTGGGATAAGTTTAGGGACCCTTAACTTTACAACTTACCTCTTACTTATCCCTTACTTATAATGTAGGCTATGGACGGCTATGGCCTATGACTTATAACTTATATTACTATATAACTATTACTTATAACTTATCCCTCACCTGGGTTTTGACCCTATCGGAACCAGGGTTTTGACCCCATCAGAACCAGGGACAAAACAGGCAAATGACATCATTGTGCAATCTCTGCACAATAGCCCCTACACTACTCTATACTATAGGATAGTGTAACTATAGTCTGTAGCAAAGTGTAGCTGTAGCCATAGGTCATCCCCATAGCCATCCATGTCATAGTCCATAGCCTACATTATAAATTCGAAACTTTGATATCAGGAGGTCAGATCATTTCAAAGTATATCAAATTTTGAGAGTGAGAGATAGAAGTGAGGGCTTAAACATAGTAACTAGAAAAGCAGGATTAGAACAGTTAGATTACTTTTAATTTTAATATTAGAAAAAGTTAAAAGGCAATAATATAATAAAAAACTTGAAAATTAAAAAGTTAAAAGGTCATGTCACGAAATATCAATATCATGGATGCATCAACATGAAAAATGAAATTGCCTTAAGCTTTTCAAACAGGGGCAAGATTAAAGTTTCTAGGAGCGACAGTGCCTCTAGCATGATTTCATTACCCGTAAAGCTGCCGAAAATTTATGTACAGAAGATACTAGCATGACTCCGTTTGACAGTGACATTGATTGTAAAAAGAAGTAAAACGGAAGCTCTTTCGAAAACGAAAAAGGGAAAATACAAATGTGGAATACCGAAAATAACGCTTCCGGTTGGGTGTACCTGTATCAAGAAGTATCTTAAATTATTCTGTATCCCAACTATTGAAGGCTGAAGGGTTTATAAAATGTTTTGTTTCTAACCACCAAGATGTTTAATAGGCTTCGCAAGAAAAAAGAAGAAAAGGTTTAATTTTGACCGAACTTTACACATATTTATTATTTTTACTCTCCCTTCATTTCAATAATATTAATATTTGCGTTAATGATTGTTGTTATTATTGATAATATTATTAATAATATTGTTAATTAAGTTAATTGTTATTTTAATTCAGACTTACTAAACTTTACTACCGATTTTACATTATTAGATTTAAGTCTGCAAATAATTTAGGCCATATTGAAGTCAAATTCATTGTCATACAGATTGAATGTACCAAGAGTCTCCTAAACCTAAAGTTAAATCATTTTTTTTTTTTTAAATTGTCAAATTTAAAAAAAATAAAAAATGATTTAACTTTAGGTTTAGGAGACTCATGAAAATCAATCAGGCCAAAAGTCAAACTAGTCAAAATAAAGCTCATGCTCATACTGAGTCATACTCATCAGGCCTACTAACTAATTGATGGTTCAGTGCATTTTTATTGTTTAGACAAAGAAAATAATGTACATATTATATAATATAATAAATATAATTTTATCAGCCTAGCCCTAGCCCTAGGTCTAGTCTAGTATTTAGCCTGCATTCATAATATAATATGAATGAATGACGAATGCCTATAATATAGCCAATATACTTAGGAAATTTTCGCAAAATTAAAAATGAGAAAAGTCAAATAGAACTATTATTATTATTATTATTATTAAAATAAAATCTTAACTCATAACTTACTAGATCTAGCCATAAACTAATGTGCATGATCTGACCACTTGTCTTTTTTTTAACATTTAAAATTAAAAGAGACCATCATTCACTTACTCTAAGCTAGTTAACAACATAGGCCTATGAATGGGCAATTATCAAATAAGTCACTCATAGGCTAGATAACAACTTGATGGCTTATAATTATAGTTCCTAAATATTTTTAATTTTAACAAAAATGTTATCACTGTTGTCAGTATGAGCTTTAAGCTACCCTATTTAACACATCTAACGGAAATAAATTTTATGATTTTAAATTATTAGTATCACTGTTGATTTGTTATTTTTTAAATAAAATAAAATTAATTGGTCCAATTAATTTTATTTTTAATTTAAAAAATAACAATCAACAGTGAATAAATCTTAGACTAAAGAATGAAGAAGCATAAATTTGGATTTTTTTCTTTTGCTCTTGACTCTTGGTATTAATTTATAAACATATTTTAATAATTCTAATGACTAATGATTCTACCAGAACTTTTCCCTCAGAGTCAATGAAAAGCTATTTTAATGAGTCTATTCTCAACATTTCATTCATTGCTTTACAAAGCTCCAAGTATTTTATAGTTATAACCTTTTTTATTAATGGTAAGATCAAGATTAAGAGATTTGGATTTTTAAATGTTGTACATTTTTAGTTGTAGCTGAACTGTTAGATGATAAATAATGTTATAAAGTTTTTTTTACTGATAATAAATTTCATCTTTCTAGCACCTACCTAATCATACATGATTTCCCTTACAATAATTTGAGTGCAGCCTCACATATTTGTTGCTGAGTGTTGCCTAGCCCGTCATGTTTGTTGTTTAGTGTTGACTAGCTCCACATTCTTGTTGTTTTCTATTGTCTTCTTCTTTCAAGTTTTCTCTTACCCTATGCTTGTTTGCTTTTTTTTACAACTTTATAACTATATCCAGAAATTATATTAAAATATTTATTTCTGCTGTTAAAAGGGCCATTATTCTTTTAAACAAAGTTTACAAGTGGTTCTCAAAGTTGGCAATAGGATTGACCAAGGACGAGGCAGTGAAATTTTCTTAGCTTTTTTAAAGAAATTAGTGTCACAAAGTAGGGGAAAACCTGAAAAAGGAAGAAGAGGGCTGTTGAAAAGCCTTCTTCAGCAAACAAAAACAAGGGAGCAATGAAATTTAAAAAACGTAAATAACTTAACTGATGCTGTGGACTGTGGAGAATAAAGATAACTTTTTCAGACACCCAGGAAAATAAAAGGCCTTTAGTTCTAACACTGAAATTCAAACACATTTATTAGACCTGATTAACAATGCATGAACACGTAACTTAACTTTTAGGAAAGACCTCTCTAGTAGCAGGAGATTGAATTTGAGCCGAAATTGGCACCTGTGCTAATAATATGGTATTGTAACAGATGGCGCAACATAAAAAAAATGGAGAAAAAAATGGAATCATTTATTCTGGAAGCCCTGTATAGATTTTGAATGATTGATGATTTATAGAGAGGTTCATTGACTATTATTGGGTGAGCGAGTGTGTGAGCTATGGATTAGTTAAATACAATGAGGGTTGTGTTGGCTGGAAAAAGTTTTAGAATCACTGAAATTTCAACTACAGAACAATATAAGAAAATTTACCAATTTAATAATTTTTCAATCAGATTTTTATTACTTATAAGTGAATCAGTCTTTATTTTATAAAATAGCAACATTTTAATCGTATTAATTTTATGGGGGAAGTTCCAGCTGTTAAATAAAGTAATTATGAATCTTTAAAGCATAAACTTGTTATGGTTAAATTATTAATTTTGATTGACGAGCCTGTATAAATTTTGGAAATGTAGCTTAAGCAAATTAAATTTTAACCCATGCTTGACTTGTTGCTTAAAGGAGAGCAAAACTGTAGACAGTGAAGAGGTTTAAAGTAAATGTGCTTCATGCATCCATTTATCCACAGCCAACAGCTCCTAGCGGTAGCAGATTTACCCTCCCTAACTTACTAGGTAACAGGAATGACAGCAGTCAGGTCAATGAAGCCCAGGTGACAACATTACAATGGGGTCTATAAGTCATTAGTGGTACATTTTAAAATTAATTCATTATAGCTTCCCTACCCTTCCTTTAACATGAGAACGCTTTAGTACTGTGTTCCAATCCTTGTGTCACTCTTATTCCTTTGTAAATGACCACCACAGCTTAAAAAAACTGCTGCTGTGCATTAGTATATTGATCACTGTTTGTTCACTGTAGTGAAGAATAAATTTTAAAAGCTTACGTTCCTTATTTAATGTTTGTTTATTCTATTAAAATAAGTTACATACAAAAATAAAAAATACAAGTTTTATATTTTTAATTCATGTAATTAAAAAAAAAGTACTCCACACATTGCTCTCAAAGTGTTATTTATCTTATTCTTGAGCATTTTGGCATTTTGTTACACCTGTTGTTTGTTTTTAGTTTTATTAACAGTTGATATTTTTAAAGACTCAATATAAAATCATATTTATTAATTGGATCTTGATTGAAACAAAGTGTTTATTTAAATAAATCCTCTTTGTTTAAAGTTTTGTTATGAAAAAAAAAGCATATTGGACATTTTTATTTTTACATTTTCTGTGGAATCATGTGGTTGATTATAGTATTTTACTTCTCTACAGGGTTTTCTGTGTCCAACATGTATAATAAATTTCCAAAGTGCTGAAGCTCTCCAAACACATTTTGACACTGCACATAGTGATGGAGCTGATTCCCCAACAGAAGATCAGGGGGTTAGTTAGATTCCTTTTTATAACTTTTTTACAACATAAGTATAACGCTGGCTAAACTTAACTGTCTCATGAGAGTTCTCTACACTTCTTCCAATGATAAGGATTTGACCTAAAATGAAACAGTTTTCTTGAGAACACTTACAATGTATATCCTCTTCCTCACATCAGTAGTTTATTTTTGTTTTGCAGTTATTCTTCTTTAGACTCAAGCCCATTTTACCACCCAATTAGTTTATTCTGGAGACACCATCTACTGTTCTTAAATTTGTTCAACTCTCTAGCATAATTTTTTTTATTTTTAATTGTTCAACTATAGGAAGGTTTTCTCTGCCCCATGTGTAAAATGTCTCTCACTTCACCGGAGGAGTTGACCAGCCATTATGAATCTGCACATAGTGATGATGCTCCTACACCAGCCGCACCTATTATAAGGTTATCAAATCAATACATGTTCCCTATACTATGAAAGCTACAGTTTATTTTATGTTTTAAACCTTTGTCAATGACATTATTCTTTCATTTAACATTATTATTTGTATATGGAATATGGAAATTAGAGCTCTGTTTTTTTTGTCCCTGGTTTCAGATACATTTAATTTTTTGTCTTATTTCATTATAACTGGCTACTGCTTTGGGTTCTCAACTATGATATAATTTGAGTATCATGCTGTCAATTTTATTTTTAAAGTGCATTTGACAAAGACAATATATTTCAGAAATGGTGAAATATCAGGGGTTGAAATACAAGAGGTAAATATATCATGTCCAAAATTGTGTCATGTTTATCTTGTGTTGTCCCTATGTTAATTTAGAAAATAAGTTTATATCCTTTTGTTTGGCATTCATATTTTATATAGTTCCAGATTCCAATAGCTCATTCCAACAAAAAATAACATTTCTTTTGAGCAAAAAAAGGTCTAAAATTTTAATATGATGCACTAGCATATATAACACAAGGTATCATTATATAAAAACTAAAATTTAAACTGCATGCCCTAATAATTATCCTTTGTGTGGCAGCTAAGGAAGGAGATGGAAATGTTACAAGTTCAACTTAGGGGCTCGGAAGAAAGCAGGAATTTGTGTAAGTTTGATATATCTGCATCGTCTTCTTCTGGTTGCTCTTCCGTTAATAAATATATTATAAAATAATATGTGGTAAATAAAATGAGTTTAAGTGTTCATTATCATTTACCTCTTTATAATAATGAGAGTTCCATGATATTTTGTTGGTGCTTTGAGATTTATCATTGATTGGGTTTATCTGATGGACACAACAGTGTCAAATGAAGTGTTCCATAAAGAACAAGAAGCTACTGCTGCAACCATGCAGGTGGAGATGGTGAAGCTGGAAAAGGAAAAACTGGAAGCAAAAGCAGCCCAGCTGGTAATTTCAGGCACTTTATTTAATGGTCTAGTACTCTTAATATTAATTGATTACATATCAATGGATTATTTTTATACTTATTTTGTGAAAACAGTTTATCAATGCATCTCATATGTGCTGGGAAGGGTGGGGAGTTATTCAGCATTTATATTTCTGCATTATTTTAAAAATAAATTCTGCAGTTATTAATATTTGAAAGTGTTGTCTCCAGGCGGGAGACTTGGCAACAATGAAAGCAAAGGTGGATGAAAGTGAAGGACAGAGGTCAGCTTTAGATGATCATATTAAAACATTGAAGGTAATGCTTCTTGGCCAATTTTAACGGATAAAAGAGATGGACTGTGATAACACTGAGCATTGGCTGTGATAACACTGACCATTGGCTGTGATAATTCTGACCATGGGGTGTGATAACGCTGACCATGGGCTGTGATAATACTGACCTTTGGCTGTGATAACACTGACCATTGGCTGTAATGACACTGACCAGGGGCTTTTATAACACTGACCATTGGCTGTAATAACACTGACCATTGGCTGTAATAACACTGACCAAGGGCTGTAATAACACTGACCATTTGCTGTGATAACACTGACCATGGGCTATAACACTGACTATGGTCTGTGATAACACTGACCAATGGCTGTGATAACACTGACCATTGGCTGTGATAACACTGACCATTGGCTGTGATAACACTGACCATTGGCTGTAATGACACTGACCATTGGCTGTGATAACACTGACCATTGGCTGTAATGACACTGACCATGGGCTGTAATGACACTGACCATGGGCTGTGATAACACTGACCATGGTCTGTGATAATGCTGACCATGGTCTGTAATAATGCTGACCATGATATATTATTACCTTTTAAATAATATTTGGGCCCTTTATTTTAGTCTAATTGACTACCAGAAATATTTCTAACAACACACTGCTTTGTCAGGAATTGAACACTTTGCATTTTAATTAAAGTGTTTAAGTGAACAAAAATTCACTAAATATTTTATATGGACATTCCTAATGTATTTTAATTACTCTTTGTCAGGGCCAGCTGGATGATAAGAGCAATTATATAAAAAATTTGGAGCTGCAATTAGCACAGAGGTATGTAACCATGTCACAAGTCAACTTAATGTGTCTTGTTACAAAAATATCTCAGGAAAAGAAAGAAGACAAAATGGCTTGGAAAAACAATTAAATCCCATTTTTTTTTAAAATGACATATAAGCAGTGGAGTAGTTAACATTGTTTTGTTTTTTTCGGAGCTTTTATGATTTAAGCCTATTTTAGAATTACATGTCTTTTCCTTTGCATCTCCAGCAATGCAATAATAAAAGCCCATTAAGAAAGACCTTGTTTATTCTATCATGTATACTCCACTACCCTGATACCTTATTTAAAGATACAATTAACACGACACTGCCAAATTTAATTATCCTCAAGTTTGATGTTCATAAAAACAAATATTGCAAGAATTTTGTGGAATTTATAAGGGCTTAACCAGGCTTTAAATTTCTTAGAACCCTTAAAAGGGAACATTATATATTCTTGGTGACTTTTTCGGAATTTTATCTTACTCCTAGACTCTGATGTTAGCTGCTATAATGTTATATAATATGACAGTTGGGCAACATCAATTTATCATTTTGTTTATCTTATCTAGTCATGAAGAGAAGGAGAAAAAGTAAGATTTTCATCTTGTGTGATTATGTCATACCCTGAGTTGTTTATTCTTATGCCTGCTTTCACCAAGTTTAAGGGAACAAATGTTGTATTTAGTTTATCCTATTAAAGAATTTGCTGATCACATTCAGTTTATGCTATTTAAGACTTGCTGCTCACACAAGAGTCAGATTATAAGACAAAATAATTGCGATAATCCATGTAAACAATTTTTTTTTTTTTTAAATTTTGTGCATGATCCTAAGCTCACTGATTCTTATATTATGTACATATTTTAGATGCATAAAAATTATTTTGATCACCTTTCTTTATAAGAGTTAGTTGGGAAGGAGACTTCTAAATCAGCATTTATGAATGAACTAAATAAGTTTCATTAAAGGATGTATTTCCTCTATTTGATGGCATAAAACTATTAGACGCTTAGACTGCAGTGTGTATAAATTTGAGCCAGACCTTCCCATCCTAGCAACCCTTCCTTATTATGAACATGATGATGCAACCTGCTCACACACCCTTCTAGTTATAACCTTATCGCCTCATTTTATTGACATTATTGTCTACAGATCCAAACATTTTAAACCCTTCTGTTTCGTAACTTTAACTTATCACATTGTACAATTAGCAGGAACCAAAATTCAATTCAGCGGTCAATTGTCTTTTCTTTTTTTTTTTTTTTTTTTTTTTTTTTTTTTTAAATCTCAATCTTTTCACGTAGCATTTGTGTAAATGTTAGATCTCAATGTTGAATGATATTTCTGCCAACTATTGTTTCATTTGTTTGCTCTTATGGTTGCAGCTAGTTATGGTTGCATCACTATGTCTATTTCAAATCCACCATTTCTATAGAGCTTGGAAGTCAAACAATATTATTTAATTTATTTTGTTTCTAATGTTTAAAATAGCTGTCTATATTTTGTCAATATCGTAGTGTCATTTTGACAACATAATTTTGTCATGTGTAGAGATACTCTGTATTAACTTGCTTATCGGTAATATGAATGAACAGTTATAAATTTTTAAAAAGATTATTTACACACACACAACCAATCACAGACTTGACATCAATAGCAACAAACACAGAACATAATCTATATTGTCTCAATATCGTAGTGTCATTTTGACCACATAATTTTGTCATGTGTAGAGATACTCTGTATTAACTTGCTTATCGGTAATATGAATGAACAGTTATAAATTTTTAAAAAGATTATTTACACACACACACCCCACCCCCCACCCCAAATCAACATCACCTTTAACGGAATAAATTATTTGCCTGGTCAAGGAGCAAGCAGTTAATAAGTGGAAGACAAAACTTACTTGGGACATCAAGTCACATGATTTAGCTTGTCAGTGGATGACTGGAGAAGTCACGTGTTGGAAGCTGTCAAGTCACGTGATTTAGCTTGTCAGTGGATGACTGGAGAAGTCAAGTGTTGGAAGCTGTCAAGTCATGTGATTTAGCTTGTCAGTGGATGACTGGAGAAGTCACGTGTTGGAAGCTGTTTTGATCAGATTTAAAAAAGAAATCTCTGGTAGAAAAGTTTCTTTTATCCAAGCCATAGAGCGAGAAAGTGAATTAAAATTGTCGGACATGTTGCCCTGTTGCCCCCTTCATATAGACGGGGATTTACTGTGGAATAACTGCCAATACGAGAACCTGTCATAGTATCCAAGTCATGCGGTATAAACCCAACATCAAACAACTTATCAAGCCACTATTTCAGTTTTTAAAAAAAATTATTACACTTTCTGAAATGTTTCAGAAGTATATGTTTACAAAAGGCTAACCACCTGGGAGGATTTTAGTGCAAATGAAATTATGAATAACCAGTGTTGAAGAGTGCTGCTTCAATTCTCATTTATTCTCCGACCCTTGACTGCTACTATTTGTGTGTACCTGTCCCAATCTTGTCGTGACTTTTTCTTTGTAGGATTTTGCTATTTTTTAAATTAATTCTTGGTTTAACTCATTTACTGTCATATTTTCATTTCTCCTGTCCGCCGAGGAAGGCTCTCAGCCGAAACGTGTTTATCTTTTGTCCCGTCTTTTGAGTCAAGCTTCCACATGCTTTGTTGAATTTGAATTTTCTACTTCTGGTCTTATGAAGATCCTAGAGGTCATTTAAAAAACTGTGTAAAGATAGACTGCAAACTCATTCATGGCAAGAGTGATTCATGTCTATACTGCTATTTAGTTCCTATATAAAAGTGGCATTTTGAATTGGTAGCTAGCAGTCCGATAGCACTGTACCTTTGTTTTATTATCTGTATTAATGTGTTGTAGTTGAGAGCTTAAGTTCTTACTCCTACACAGCTGGTGTTTTTCATTGATAATATAAACTGTATTTTGCAATGAAAAGTTTAACTCTTAGCAGCTCCCCTGAATGGGAGGTGGGAAAAATTAAGGCAGTACAAAATGGCCACCCCACCCCTGTGGACACTTAGTCTTGGCCATCGTCCCACCCTGGCAGTATGAGCCATTTGTGTGATTGGGTCTGTGATACTAAGTGACAAGTGGAGCTCTACAACTGATTGGCCTTAAAGAGCTTAGACTCAGGCCATTGTCCCACCCTGGCGGAATTGTCCAGTTGTATAGTTGGGTCCTGTGATAAGTCATGAGGGTTTGATGAGGTAAAATGATTGAGAAAGACTGTGCTAGAGCTAAGTAAGAAACATTTCCATTTTTTTTAAAGCAATTTACCTAATTGACATATTTTACAATATATATAACAATTGAACTTGTACAGACCAGCAGCTGATGATGTCTTTGTTCTTAAACAAGAGCTGGTTTCAGTTCAAACTCTAATGGACAACATGAGCCAGGAAAGAGAGAAAGAAAAAGAAGTCTTGGAGAAGGAATTAAGTCTGTTGAAAGCTAAGCATATTGTGTGAGTTTAAGTTAATTTGATGACCGATTGCAGCCTTTTGAAGTCTGAGTAGTTACAGCCTTTTGTAGCAATTAACAGATTACAAAAGACAAAAGACATCTCAGCTAAGTTAAAAAGAAATTATTATGGGAAAAGCTACTTTAAAAAGCGGGTTGGGGTGGGGGGGGGGCATAATACTGCCTGTAAGCAATTGTTCAACAGATCACATTAGCATGGACATAGCATTTTAAGGCTCTTTTTTTTTATTCAAATGAAAGTTTGGTGTTTGCATCAAATGTGGATCATGTTACATGCATTGATCCACAGTAGCACTCTCTGTTTATCTGAACAAATATTTAAAATATTACACTAAATTTACAGTTCAGATCAATATATAATATTTTATTTATTTATTTATTTAGGCATTTTTATATAGCGCTTATCATAAAGCTCTAAGCGCTTTACAATTATTAAAACATGTAAACTAAGTAAATACAAATGAGACACTAGGATAGTAACTACTATTCTATAGAAACAATGAAAATGGCTATAAAAAGAGGACACTTTGACACTTCAGGATTAAACCGAAACAGAAAATTAGGTAGGGCAAGGAGGGTGCATCACAGGTCATAGGCGGACCTAAACAGATGAGTTTTAAGGGACTTTTTGAAAATGGACGAGGTTTCACTATGACGTATATGGAAGGGGAGCTGGTTCCAGAACGTGGGCCCATGGAAGCAGAAGGAGCGTTCACCGATGGTCTTAGTTTTAGTTCTTGGGATTGAGAGGGTTCTACTGTCAATGGAAGAACGTAGTTGTCTTGTGGGGATGTAAGGAAGCAACAGTTCAGAGAGATAGACAGGAAAGTGAGGGTCAGTGAACGAGTTGAAGCAAAGATTGGAAGACTTGTATTTGATGCGAGAGGATATTGGAAGCCAGTGGAGTTGCCGCATGTGTGGTTGAATGTGGTCATGTTTCTTTAATTTAAAAATGAGTCTGCATGCTGAGTTCTGTGCCTTCTGAAGTTTTTCTATGTGGTGTTGAGGAATGCCTGAGAGAAGAATGTTACAGTAGTCAAATTTTGAAAGAATGAGTGAAGAGACGAGAGTTTTTGTGGCATCAAAGGAGAGGAGGTGTCTAATGGTGCTGATTTTTCTAATTTCGTTATATGCTGATCTGCATATATTCGTGACATGTTTGTCCATGGAGAGGGTGTCCGTAAGCGTGACTCCAAGGTTTCTGGCAGAGGGAGAGAGTGTGATGTCAGAGTTGCCAATAGATATAGAAGAAGGAGCGAATGGAGGGAGAGGTTTGTTTTGAGAGTGGATGAGAAGGATTTCCGTTTTATCATCATTTAGCTTCAGTTTGTTGCAAGTCATCCAACGCTTTACATCGTCCACGCACTCCTGTATGCGAAGGATTGTGGCATCAAGTTGATCAGGAAAGCAAGAGTCACTGATTTGAGTGTCATCAGCAAAGGATTGACTGGAAACTGAGTGGTGGCTAATGAGAGATGATAGAGGTTTAGTGTAGAGGATGAAAAGGACCGGCCCAAGGACCGATCCTTGAGGAACTCCAATAGACAGGGCTGAAGGTTTGGAAGAGCGGTTGGAAATAGAGACTTTTTGAGTTCTGTCAGAAAGATATGATTGAAACCAGTTTAAAGCTGAGCCAGTAAGTCCGAAAGAAAGATGAAGGCGGTCAAGAAGAATCTGGTGGTCAATGGTATCAAATGCAGCAGAGAGATCTAACAGAGTGAGAATAGAGAGTTTGCCATCGTCCATCGCGCGCAGGAGGTCACTCATGACTCGGACCAGTGCTGTTTCTGTGCTATGACCAAGTCGGTAGGCGGACTGAGAGGAAGGATAGAGATTGCGAGAATGAAGATAGCCAGAGAGCTGAGAGAGTATGAGTTTTTCTATGATTTTTGAGAGAAAGGAGAGGTTGCTGACGGGGCGGTAATTCTTGAGTGTGTTTGGATCAAGTGAGGGTTTCTTTAGGAGGGGCAGGACAATCGACCGTTTAAAAATGGGAGGGAATATGCCAGAGAGAATCGAAGAATTTATGATGGAGGTGAGTGCTGGGAGGAGGACGTCAAGGCATTCTACAAGCAGTGGGACGGGGATAGGATCGAGGGCACAAGACTTGGGAGCAGACCTGATGATGACTCGCCTCACCTCATCCTCAGTCACAGGCAGAAAACTATCAAATGATTCTGTCTGACTAACGTCCTCCGAGAACGGTGAGGAAGGTGTAGGGGTCGCGCTGTCAAGCTCCTCCCTGATCGTTTGCACCCTGGTGATGAAAAAGTCCGCAAAGGCGTCAGGGAGTTGCTCTGGTGCAATGTCGGTAGGGAGGGTGAAATTCTTGCTATTGCCAAGGAGACGGTTACTAGCGCTGAACAACGCCTTGGTTGATGCACATGATTCGACCTTTGAACTCCAGTAGTCATCCTTTGCCCTCTGTACAATCTCTGCCACCGCATCTTTCGCTGTCCAAAAGATCTGTCTGTCGACACTCAGTCCGGTCTTTACCCAGCGTCTTTCAGCGCGTCTTCGCACGAGTTTTGCCAGACGGAGTTGGTCACTAACGCCTGCATACCATAGCGACGAGCGACCAGTCGGGACACGTCGCGCCATGGGAGGGGCGTGCTCGTCCAAAAGTGCTCGGAGGCCATCGTCCAGATGCTGAGCGCTGAGCTCAGTACCTAGACCTTGAAGCATTGTCTTAATGCCGGCTTTGAAGGCTGCTCTGTCTATAGCGTTTATGTCACGCACGGTCCTGTAGACAGGTGGGTTCTTTGGGGGAACTACGTTGAGTGTAGTGAGCACCGCTGCATGGTCAGAGGAGAGCATATGACTCACAGTACAGCTGTCCACCAAGTTGTCGTCATCACGGTACACCACCCAGTTGATGATGTGGCCGCTGCGATAGTAGGTGGGCTGCTTAATGCCCTGGACAAGACTAAACCTTGTGAGGATGTCTAGATAAGGTCGCCCACGATCACACTTGTTCCACGGAGCAGGTTGCAGTAGTCAAGTAGGTCAGGGAGCTCAGAGAGGAAGGTGGAGTTTAGGAGCTTGTTCTTCTTACTGGGCGGAGTGCGGTACAAGCAGAACATGTTGACAGTGTGGGGCATGTTGAGGGTGAACTGAACAAGTTCTAGAGAGGTGTGCTAAATAAGGACTGAGTTTCCACCACTAAGTAATGACTGAATTTCTGCCAATTTATTTGGTTCAAGGCAGTCACCTCTTAAATTTCAGGTTTCAGAATTTGCTCAGTGAAAAAGATTCCAGTGAAAAAGAATTGAAGGCAACAATAGAAAAGTTAATATAATCTGCTGATAAATGTTTTTTGCTGTAGTTTTAATTTATTCCGCTTGTATCAATAACTCTAATTTATGACAATATTTATGTTTAGAAAGGAGACTGAATGTGATGAACTATTGGAAAGACTTGAGCAGGCTCCCAAATCAGAGGAAGTCTTCAAGTAAGTCAGGTGGTTTTCAAGTACCTTTTCTTTTTATAGGTAAAGTAGATAGTGTTACATAGTTTATAGTGTTGCTGAGATTACTTTGAGTTGTTATAAGCTGCCACTTGTAATTTGATAGAGGAAACAAGTAGAGGGAATGTTCTGATTTGGCCATGGGCTGAAGTTACAATGCAAGGTCTAAAAGATTCCCAGAGCTTTTGAATTGTGTGTCCTTAAGAAATGTAGATAATAGTGATGATTTGCATTCTACAGCTTTGGTAGGCTTAATGTTGGAAAATAATGATTCACTTTTACTAAATAATAGTGAATTCCCACCACTAAATCTAAATATTGACTGAACTTCTATACTAAAGTGACTGAATTTCCTTCACTAAAAAACGACTGAGTTCCAACCTCTAAATCTAAATAATGACTGAGTTTCCACCACTAAATAATGACTGAGTTTCCACCACTAAATAAGGATTGAGTTTCCACCACTAAATAAGGACTGAGTTTCCACCACTAAATAAGGACTGAGTTTCCACCACTAAATAAGGACTGAGTTTCCACCACTAAATAAGGACTGAGTTTCCACCACTAAATAAGGACTGAGTTTCCACCACTAAATAAGGACTGAGTTTCCACCACTAAATAAGGACTGAGTTTCCACCACTAAATAAGGACTGAGTTTCCACCACTAAATAAGGACTGAGTTTCCACCACTAAATAAGGACTGAGTTTCCACCACTAAATAAGGACTGAGTTTCCACCACTAAATAAGGACTGAGTTTCCACCACTAAATAAGGACTGAGTTTCCACCACTAAATAAGGACTGAGTTTCCACCACTAAGTAATGACTGAATTTCTGCCAATTTATTTGGTTCAAGGCAGTCACCTCTTAAATTTCAGGTTTCAGAATTTGCTCAGTGAAAAAGATTCCAGTGAAAAAGAATTGAAGGCAACAATAGAAAAGTTAAATGTGGAGCTGGACCAGCTGTCTGAAAGTAGGACCAAAGTAAGCCAACACAAACTGATCATATCCCTATCTGGTCTGTCATCTTAAGTTAGTACAAGTTATGAGTAATGGTGAAAGTTTTGATAGAATCCTGGTATGAAACTGAGTGCATCAGAGGAATTCTGAGTCATTTGAGACAGTATAACTGAACCATTCCACTTGACTGACAGCCAGACAGGTCAAGTTTAGATATCATAGGACACCTGCTTGTCTTAATTCATTGACCTTTTGACCCCGTGATCAGCTTCAGGAACAAGTGGATCAGTTGTCCTGCTCTGCTGGGGAGGGCCAGGGGGTGATAGCCAAGCTACAAGAGAGCGCGTCCCATCTGGAGGAGGAGAAGAAAAACTTGCACAACAGTCTGCTGACCACACAAGATATGTTGACCAAATCACAGGCAGAGCTGGTCCAGGTAAGTCTGCATTGTTCCTGGTGCGTGACGTGACGTGATAACATATACATTTTTTTGAACACGCACAACTTTTAGCATAATATTTTTTCAACTCTTCATGAACTTTATCTTGTTCAATCACAATGAAAGCCATTGAACATTTGTTTTCATCACATTCATTATTTTGATCCTACATTATTTTTTTTTAATGAGCAACATAACACTTGATTATTTTAACCTTTATCCGAAAATCAAATACTAAAATTGATCTGAAAACATCTAAATGAGATAACATTATAATTGTAAAAATAGATGATATCTTGTCTAATAAGCGTACCAGACAGCTTTGGTGTGGAAGGGGGCTGATTTAATGAGATTTCTTTCTCAAACCCCCCATTTCCAGTTTGAACAAGTCGTGTTTTGTTTTGATGTTCATTTGGTATTTGACATTTCAAGGCTCAAAATAATTTGGAAGAAACCAAGAAATCCTTAGATGAGCATTTAGCAAGAGTATCCCAGCTACAAGCTTCACTATCTGAGAAGGATGAAACCATCAACAATTATAAGGATGAAGTAGATAGAAACAGAGATGTCCTAGAGCAGCAGAAGAAAGAGCTCACAACGGTACGTCCTGAGCATAGGCTCATTAACAAATGAACAGTGTCTGCATTAAATTCTGAGTGTATTAGGGATTTCCCATCAATTGAGTTTAAAGCTTTCACTATTGAGTAGTAAGTAATACAATTTCAAAAACACTTATTACTGATTGTTGGCATGCTGGTAGAAAACTCACATGTTTGACCTGTAACTCACCTGCCACATGTTTGACCTGTAACTCACTTGCCACATGTATTAACTTTCTTTGATGCAACTTTTTTTTTACTCCAGCTCCTTTTATTTCTTTTTCATTTTTATAAGTGATTTTATAAATGAGTATATAAAACATTACATACAGTTTTTCAGATAAAACATTACATACAGTCTGTTAAATAAAACATTTCATACAGTCTGTCAAATAAAACATTACATACAGTTTGTCATATAAAACATTACATACAGCCTGTCTATGGTTATCAAATATTATAAAGAATAAAAATATTTTAACTTTGATATTAGCTGAAAATTTTTCTACATGATCAATGAAAGGAATATTCAGACAAATTATTTCTATTGTCAATTGTTTAGAGATTTTTTAAAATGTGACTCACTAAATATTTAATGAGTATATTCTTTAAAACTGTCTTATTTGAAATCCCCAATGCAGCTAAGCAACAGGCTAGAAGCCAGTTCTAAGACAGGAGAGGAACACTCCCTTGAGATTGAAAAACTCCAGACTTCAGTGGAGGAGAAAACAAAAACCCTGAAGGACTCTCAAGAAGAATGTGACAGACACAGAGAGGCACTAGAGGCTCTCAAATATGAATTTACTGTGGTAAGGTCACTGTGGCGTAATCTCTCATGTTCAGTTTTACTTTCATAAGATGATACATTTGAACAAACATGAAGCGGTTTGAGTAACAACAAAGGGAGTAGTTGAACAAAATGAAATAATGATGAACTTTGTCTTGCTCTTCTTTGGCTTGCTCAAGTGTGTGAGAATCACTGTTGTTATGTGTAGGTTACTATTGTTATGTTTGGTATGGAAAGGATGTTTAGTTTAGAGATTATATGTGTAGCTGTATCTATTATGTGAGATAGTTGTGACGTATTTGGGTAAGAAGAAATGTTTTGTTGTTTATATAGTGGATTGATGGCCTTTGGTGTGGCTTGTTTCGTGTGTTGAGGATTTCGGCTAGGTGTATTGTTAAGGGAGAACCTTGATTTGTTTAACGAATTGGATTGTTAGTACGGTATACATTACTCCGTCATGTTGTGATAATGTATAATAAACTAACTTATAGCGTGCAACAAGATAGCAAGTTTGGTGTATTGGTATCAGTTACACTAGTCCATGTGAAGAAGTGAGAGACTATAATATCTGACAAGTAAGCATCTGACATCAAAGGTTAGATGAACACAAGACAGTAAGATCTACATCTTATCAATAACTAACCATTTGTAACATTAATATAATCTTGATCTTCTGACATATGTCAACATTACAGTCAACATTACAGTCAACATTACAGTCAACATTACAGTCAACATTACAGTCAACATTACAGTCTGGTCACAAATAAAAAAAACAAGTCTCAAGAGTCTCATTTCACTAGCAAATAATTCTTCAGCCGATAATTTTCAAATTAAGAGTTGGATAGATTTTTATAATAGATATAATTGGCAGATTCAAAGCAAGCTGGAGGAAAGTTCTAAAACTTTAGAAGAGCGCTGTGCAGAGATTTCTCAACTTCAGAGTTCAGTATTTGAGAAGGATGAAACCATCAGCCAATTACAAGAAGCTTCAGACCAAAGCAAAGAAATCTTGTCAGAGCTACAAACTGACTTGGAAGGGGTAAGGAGTTTCTCTTTAGGACCTCTGTCAGTTGATGATGAAATATTTCTTACATCAATTATTTTATTTTATTTTCTTCTTTAGTACAAATCCCGTGTAATCAAGATCAAAGAAAGGTAAGAAAAGGGTGGGGCAGAGACTGAAGTCAGGCTAGGTGTAAGGAAATAAGTGAACCAAAGTATGGTAAAATCTGAAAAAAAAAGGACGCAACAAAACAACAAACGTTTTGACAAGAATCCTTTTTCATCAAACAGATAACAGTAAAAAAAATATATAAAGGTAAACTCTTGGCCGCAATGTATTATCCAAAAGGATATCAAGAGGCTTGGCTTATTTCCTTCAAGATCAAAGAACAAGGGTAAAAAGTGGAATACATTTTTTTTTTGTCATTGTTTAGGCAAATCAAACTCTGGCTGATAAAAGCAGACAGCTTGAAGATTTACTGAAGGTCATGGGAGACACTGAGAGCTCATCTCAGACTGTCCTTCTGATGAAAGATCAGCAGGTCAATGAACTCAAGTTCCAAGTGGACAAGGTGGGCACCATTTTCTAGAATTTTGTGCTGTTTTTTTGTACAGTCATAACCTTGCTTAGTATTGATAAGTTCTTTGTTTTAAACATTTGGTAAAAAAAAGTTGTAGAATAATTTGATGTCACCAATGACCTATATATCCAAAACTGTCATGTCATTTTCAGCTTCAGGTGGACATCGACACAAAGTCCAGTGAGATCCTTGACCTACAGAATCAGCTGGCTACTTCCCACAGAGTCTTTGAAGACGAGGTACGTATTTTTGTTAGTCATCTTACACAAATTTGATTTGAAGAACTTGAATATGAAAATTATGAAAATAAATTGGAATTTATAGAGACAGCATTGATGTTAACCAAATATGTACAAAGGGGCCTTGGATTTCACTTACTCTGATGTGGTCTTGATCCTAATATAATTTATGTCCTAACTGTAGGAATTATTATGTGTTTTTATTTTTGAACCCTGACATCTGTCATCTACTTCCTAAACACAGAGAAGGTCATGTGATGAACTGAAAGCTCAAGTTATTGACAGGGATACAAGACTCGAGGAGGAAGCCAGAAAACTTGTGAATACGTGAGTTAAAGCTTTAAGAAAACTTGTGAATATGTGAGTTAAAGCTTGAAGAAAACTTGTGAATACGTGAGTTAAAGCTTTAAGAAAACTTGTGAATATGTGAGTGAAAGCTTGAAGAAAACTTGTGAATATGTGAGTTAAAGCTTTAAGAAAACTTGTGAATATGTGAGTGAAAGCTTGAAGAAAACTTGTGAATATGTGAGTGAAAGCTTGAAGAAAACTTGTGAATATGTGAGTGAAAGCTTGAAGAAAACTTGTGAATATGTGAGTGAAAGCTTGAAGAAAACTTGTGAATATGTGAGTGAAAGCTTGAAGAAAACTTGTGAATATGTGAGTGAAAGCTTGAAGAAAACTTGTGAATATGTGAGTGAAAGCTTGAAGAAAACTTGTGAATATGTGAGTGAAAGCTTGAAGGAAACTTGTGAATATGTGAGTGAAAGCTTGAAGGAAACTTGTGAATATGTGAGTGAAAGCTTGAAGAAAACTTGTGAATATGTGAGTGAAAGCTTGAAGGAAACTTGTGAATATGTGAGTGAAAGCTTGAAGAAAACTTGTGAATATGTGAGTGAAAGCTTGAAGAAAACTTGTGAATATGTGAGTGAAAGCTTGAAGAAAACTTGTGAATACGTGAGTGAAAGCTTGAAGAAAACTTGTGAATATGTGAGTGAAAGCTTGAAGGAAACTTGTGAATATGTGAGTTAAAGCTTGAAGGAAACTTGTGAATATGTGAGTGAAAGCTTGAAGAAAACTTGTGAATATGTGAGTGAAAGCTTGAAGAAAACTTGTGAATAGGTGAGTGAAAGCTTGAAGAAAACTTGTGAATATGTGAGTGAAAGCTTGAAGGAAACTTGTGAATATGTGAGTGAAAGCTTGAAGAAAACTTGTGAATATGTGAGTGAAAGCTTGAAGAAAACTTGTGAATATGTGAGTGAAAGCTTGAAGGAAACTTGTGAATATGTGAGTGAAAGCTTGAAGAAAACTTGTGAATATGTGAGTTAAAGCTTGAAGGAAACTTGTGAATATGTGAGTGAAAGCTTAAACAGACCTGTTTACTCTTACAATTTTGGCGTATAATGTAGGATTTTTAGATGTCTTTTACGATTGTACGCCGGGACCCGCTAAAACTACAATTTTCAGAGACCAGGTCAAAAAATATTTGGGTAATTTTTTTTACTATACTTTTTTTTTCTTTCGGTTGTTGAACTTTCTTATAATGATCTGGCAGTGAATGGACAGAGAAAAACGATTGGTGTAATTATTTTTTTAAAGTTGGGACCATCTTTCATTTTATTATGCACGCAGTGAGAGGGGAGTTGGGGGTTGATGATCACGGAAAGACGTGTTACTAGACAACAGTTTGTGTTACTATGGTATGTTAAATAATACTACTATGGCGATCTCCTTATGAAAACAAAGCATTAGTATAAATATGAGTATACGATAACTGCGAAACATTGTGGTGATGTTTTTATAGCCTTAATAATAATAATAGGCCTAATTAGAATTCATGGATTTCACAGATTTTCAAATGACAGTTGGCTCTATAAAAGACTGTCTGGATAATTATTGTAGAAAATATGCATAAATGTAGGTGCATTCTGGTGACAACCCCCCCCCCCTTCTCATCAAAGCTGTGATACACATCCTCAGCATGCATGTAATATTTGGATAGCCCTTTACGTTGACAAAGTGCAGATGGGTGAGGGGGTATGAATATTTTTTAATCTTTTAACTTTTATTTTGTGTATGAATGTCTCATTGTCCAAACAGCTCTGTCATTCGAATTTAGCTACATTGACGATGTGCACATTGCATGATTTTATTGTTATCATAAATGGAATTGGGGATCCTTTTTGTTTTCGGTAGCTTAGTTTTGTTTACTTAGTTAGTATATAAGTCCAGACCTGTTTCCTCTTACGATTTTGGCGTACAATGTTGGATTTTAAGATGTCTTTTACGTACACAAGACGGGGCAAGAGGTGGGGGGATAGTCAAAAACATACACATGCAATGGGGTGGGGGGGTGAGTGACTCTTTATGCTTACAAACAATATAGATTGCATCTCATCATGTTTCTTTGCGTCGATGCTGTATGACGTCATTTTGTGACAATTATTTCTTACGGCTGACCGTTCATCTAAATATCAATTGATATCCATAGCAGATACACCTCTGCAAACAAAGTGACCGCAGTTTGCAAATAACGTCAGTCATCTACTTTTTACCGTTCAGTTACTTTTTTTTAAGCCAGCTTAACTTGATCCCACTAACCACGCGGTGCGAGTAGTTATTGCATACATTATATACACGGTATGTTTATAACATACCGTATTGTACGATTTTGAGACGATATTGTACGATTTTAGGAGTAGGAGGGTAGAGAGGTCTGCTTAAAGGAAACTTGTGAACATGTGAGTGAAAGCTTCGCTACTATCTTCATAATGTGCATGGATTTTGTTAATTGCAAACATGTTTTCACATTTAGAAATGAGTTATATTTACTTATTGAACATGAACTAAATTTTACCATAAAATACTCCAAGTTTTCTTGCTGGCTGAACATTTGAGCACATGAACATGCTCACTGAACCAGTCAGCTGATACTTTGAGCACATGAACATGTTCACTGAACCAGTCAGCTGATACTTTGAGCACATGAACATGCTCACTGAATCAGTCAGCTGATACTTTGAGCACATGAACATGCTCACTGAACCAGTCAGCTGATACTTTGAGCACATGAACATGCTCACTGAACCAGTCAGCTGATACTTTGAGCACATGAACATGCTCACTGAACCAGTCAGCTGATACTTTGAGCACATGAACATGCTCACTGAACCAGTCAGCTGATACTTTGAGCACATGAACATGTTCACTGAACCAGTCAGCTGATACTTTGAGCACATGAACATCCTCTTTCAAAATGAGAAGTTTAAAAGTCATTTAGTATTTACCATCAATCAGATGAATGTTTTGAGTCTGACAACAGCTGAGCCAGTTTGTTCTGTTTGAATAATTCAATCTGATATTTGTCTCCAGTGAAGAAAAGCTGAAAGATCTTGAAGTCAAGCTGACATACATGTCTGATGCGAAGCTTAGACTGGAGACGGAGAGGCAAGAATTAGTGGCAAAGGTAGAAACCTTAAAGTTATACTTTAGGAAGAACTGTCTTAAAGTAGATTAGCTGAATTAAATAGCATGTAGGGAAGATGATTACATGTTGGCGTTAATGAATATGAGGCATGGGGTGGGTTGTGGCAACCTCATGCCAATGATTCTATGTACACAGCAATTGAGGAAGCTGTTCCTAGGTTACCGTTTTGTCCCAGCTGCTGCATAAATTAGTTGCGAGGTAGATACCCACTGTAGAAATCCCTATGAGAGGGCATCTGACACTTCCCCGCGATGGGCTGTGAGATCAGCGTCACCGGCTGTCCTTGTGCTGGCGTGGCCTCCGTTGGTACCCGATTAAGTGAATGCTGGCAGGGGCTTCGCTGCCGAATACTCGGGGTGGGGGGGGGGGGGTTTTAGGGGAGGGCATAAGAGCTTGGTACTAGATTGACGGCTCGCTGAGGTCAATTCCTCATGTACATTTTTAGTAGTATGAAATAAACTAGAAATATATTTAAAAAAAGAAAACCGAATACTCGGGGTGGGGGGGGGGGTGTTTTAGGGGAGGGCATAAGAGCTTGGTACTAGCTTGACAGCTCGCTGATGTCAATTCCTCATGTACATTTTTAGTAGTATGTAATAAACTAGAGATATATTTCAAAAAAGAAATGTTCCAACTTTATAAGTAACTGTGGCTATAGCAACCCTTCTCAAGAGTCTGTTGACATAAAAGTGGGATAATAGGATCCCTTACTTAGCTTACATGGACATATAATTGTGAGTGTAGGATCCCTTACTTAGCTTACATGGACATATAATTGTAAGTGTAGGATACCTTACTTAGCTAACATTGAATCTAAATGTTTTTTGTTCAGATAGATGCAGGAGAAGGGGCCAGTGAGTTAATAAGTCAGATGAAACAAGAAAATGTAAGTAGTTTTACTCTTTGGTGAGTTTTACTCTTTGATGAGTTTTTCTCTTTGATGAGTTTGACTCTTTGATGAGTTTTACCTTTGACAATTCATATCTTTAAGAAATTAAATTCAACCCATTGTTTAGTCTAGCAGTTTTAGTACCCAACACCTTGATCTATTGCAGTAGTTTTCAACGGGTGTTTCATGAAACACCGGAAACTTTAAAGGTGTGTTGCAACATTTTTGTAGAAAGGATTAAGACAAGATTTCCTCGGGGTATTGAACTTGCAAAGTATTGTAATTATAATATAGTTCATCTGATCTAAACGGCCTATATTAACAATCGTATTCCGCTTGCAAGCTGCACCTCACCAAACCAGGAATACTTGCATGCTGTGTCACAGAATCTTAGTCATTAGTGTTAGTTTCTTGTTAGATAATCAATATGTTTGAAATATGCTGATCTGCTGACACCTAGGATAAATTTGGAGAACAAATTGATACACATTTATGGGACCTTGACACAATGGATGGCATGTTTTCTTTTAGCTGTTGAATCCCTCTCTCTCTATGACCAATCACTGTACACTTCCTTTCCCTTCTTCCAAATGTTTATTATATTAACTACGCATATTTTTTTCACACCGTCCACTTAATCTTTGAGGACTCAATACTGGTGATTGTCTTATTATGTTGTTTGGGATCAATTTTATTATTGTATGACCTATCTGTCAGCTCGGATTTTCTGGTGCGCCCTGATGTTTTGGAATCCAGGCGGGCAAGTAGGTTTGAAGTCTTTTTTCTTTTCAATATTTTTTACTGACTGCCATTTTTATGAACAAAAGAACAAAAGAACATTCTAAATTTGTCTCTCTCATCATTTGCATAAAGTTTCGATTATTTTTGGGTAAAGCAGAAGTCATCTTACTTTCAGTTTTTCTTTCCGTGATATCTAACTCAGATCCCCCATCTTTAATAATCTAATGGACGCAGTCCTCACCACAATACAGTAACCATTGTCTTCCATCACAGAATTCTGTGGACTGCTTTCAGCTAAGTTTATCTTTATGTCCCTCTTTGTCTGCTCTTGAAGGCCTTTTATTTAAAACCTTCTTTGTTTAGTTGTGTGATCTTTCAGGTTTTCCCCTACTCTGTGTGTTATATTTCATATTGTATAAAACCAAAATAGCAAATATTGCAGTTGTTATAAAATTAAAAAGATAACTTGTATATTGTATGGTAAAATTACAATCTAAGTTTGAGAACACCATGGTTGTAATCAATGGTTTAATTTGATTGGAACATTTTGTTTCATAGAGTTCACTCCAGGAGAAACTCACAGCCTTAGAATCAACCCTGCAGACCCAAGCTGCAGAGTCCAGTAGCAAGGAAGAGAATCTCCATAAACAGCTGAGGGAGGTCAGGAGCCAAATGCAGGAGGGTGAGGCCAAGGTCACCAAACTGGAGGCAAGTCTAGAGGAGAAATCAGCAAAACTTAACACTCTCCAGCAGAAGGTGCATGGCCTGGAGTCTGAGTTGAAAGTTAAAGTGAGTTCATTTTTTGTCAAGTTCATGGTCATTCATAGCTTATGTGCTTGGCATGATTCATTCAATCATAGATGGAATATTTGCCATTAAACAGATAAGAGTTCAATGGAACGGTTTTACAATCTGCAGCTTAGTGTTCAATTTTATAATTTTGTTTTTAAAAAAAAGAAATGAACAATCTTTGAGCTTCTTTCAGCTATTTCTTTTCTCTTCCAAATGTAGGCAGAGTTGCTCCTGGCATCAGAGTCAGCTAAAACAAGTCAGAGAGCTGACCTGGAGAACCACATAAAGACTGTCAACAGCTCCATGGAGAAGGTCACTGCTCAACTGACCACTGTCAAAACACAGCTTGATCAGGTAACCCTACGTTGCTTGCGACATCTGTTACACCATTTCTGTTTTCTCTATGTAAAAAATTCAAAGTCCTCTAATTTTTTTTATTACAATGCTCAAAATACTATCATCATCAGCCATATTAATATTTGAAATGAATTGTAGGATTAAATGTAACTTAATACTCAATACAGTAACTTCATGATTTTTTTATTTAAATCTGAATTTAAAAAATTATTATTTTCAAGTGAAGGTAAAGACTTGAGTTGATGCTTGATGATTATATAATAGTAAAGTGAAAGTACTTGACTTGTGTACAAGTCCCTGCCTCTGTATGTCACCAGGCCAACAATGATGTCACTGCTAAGAAAGATAAGATAACTCTGCTGGAAGCCAAGCTCCATGAACAAAAAGAGAAAGCATCACAAGCTAACCAGAAAATTAATGCATTAGACAGGGAACTTAAAGAAAAGGTCAGATTTTTCAATTTGCCTGTAAATTTGAACTGATCAGTTTTTATGAACCAAACACACAGTAAAGGGAAATCTTGTAAATACATAAAGATATCTTCATCAGTGTCCTACTTAAAGTCATTTTTTTTAAATTATTTATATTATATTTTGTTTAAAGATCTATATATCTTTTAGATCTTTTTTAAATATAAATCATACACAAAAAACTTGGGGGGGGGGGGGGGGGGGGGTTTAAAAAATACTTCTTATGGCTTTTTTTAAAATTATTATTATTTTTTAAAATATGTATATTATGGGGTTGTTTTTTTTACATCAAAGGAGGTTATTAAAAAATAGGAATAGTTAAATTGTAGGCATTCATGGTAAGATGTTAAATGGAATGACTTTATTTTATCCAATTAAAATATCAGAATTCCAAACTGACTCAAGTAGATAAAGAGACAAAGGACTTGGAGATTGCACTGACTGTGAACAAGCAGGCTTTGGATGAAACTAAAGGAAAACTTAAGAAAGTGCAGCAGGATCTTGAAACAGTGAGTGTCTGTGCAAGGTTAATCAATCAGAAAAATGTATTTGTCAATATTTATTATACACAGAGAGCATTGTTTCTCATGTTAAAAAAAAAAAATATTTAAATACTGATTGGACATTTCCCCCCCCCCCCCCTTTTCCCATCCGGACAGTGGTTTATGGTATTCTATGAAGTCATATAACCTAAAATCTAAGTATAGATGAACTTATCAATTTTTTTTCCTATTATGAAACTATGACACTTGGTTATCACAAGTTGGGGCCTTCAATTGGAAAAGTTGAGGAGCACTTGTCTCAGCTGAAATATTTAAAGATTTAATCTATGAACAGGAGAGTAAGGCAAGGACAGTTGACAAGACTGATTTCTCGAAAAAGCTTGAGACTTTGGATGCTGAGAAGTCTGAGTTACAGCAGAAGCTTCAAACCCAGGTAAGGGTCTGGCATAAAACATGGCCTCATCTTTTAAGTTAAGTTTTGTTAATTTGAACATAAAGGAAGGTTTAGTTCCTTGTAAATACTTTTCTTTTATCAACCATTTTTAATTATTTTGATTTAAAAGTATTGTTTTTTTCTACATTGAGCATTAATATATAAATGAAGCTTAGTTATAGACATTGCTAATTACTGGTTTTAATTTCAATGGCTTTGAATACCTATAAAAATGTGTTGTTGTCATTTTAGAGCACAAGCTTAGCAGAAATTGAGAAAAATCTGACAGAGACTTCAAAACTACTTGAAGAAGTGAGGAAAAATTTAACAAATACTCAGACTGAGCTCAAGAATAACCAGGAGGAATTAACAAAGGTATTTTATCATTCCTTACTTTTGCCCATATCTGTGATCAGGACATTTCTCATTCTGCTGTCACCCTAAATAGTGAAAGAACTTTCAAATCTAAAATAACAATTTATCTCATAATTAAACTATATTATTGTTTGAGCTACCCTTTTTTTAATTCTCAGTTAAAGGAGAGCTCTAGTTCCCAAATTGCATCTTTAACATCACAACTGGAGAGAGAAAAAAGCTTAGCAGACGGTGCCAAGCAAGAATTGCAAAGACAGGCAAGTGTTATTTATTATTTAAAATGATTTTTTTTTAAACCTTTGGCCTGTTATTACAGAAATATTTAGTTATGTTAAAATTCGTTGAAAAAAAAAAGATCAGGCCAAATTAATAAAACAGTAATTTATTAAAAATCACAGAGGTGGCTCCAAAATATTTCAAAATCTATGAGGCTTGTTGGGATCAATAAATAGATGAATAATAAATATTCCAACTTTTTATACTCTGATTATTGACAGGTTTCTGCTTTGACAGATGAAAGAAATACTTTGAACGAGGAGAAAATAGCATTTGTCAGCAAAATCACTGAGCTGACGATCCAGTCTCAACAGAAGTCCTCCGAAATTGACAGTATAAAAGAGCAGCTAGAGAAAGAGAAGGTATTCAGCAAATATAAATAATTTGAATTTGTTGAATTTATATTTTTGCTTTACTTAGACAAATGAACGTGTGTGTTTCAGAAAGATAATGAATCAGAAAAGAAACGCCTGGAGTCTGAGTTCAGTGGCAAAGAAGCAGAGCTTCAAGACGTGATCAAGTCACTCAATGACAGCATTGCTTCAGAAAAGGTGAGAATTTCACAATTTTAATAGAACCAAATTTTCTTGCCCAATTTAAGATTTGGGCAACTTATTAACAATGTAGTGACATATCTATGTGCTGTTTGTATTGTCTTATTTATAGAATTAATATTTGTCATTTTTCAAAAAGAATAATAGCATGGAAGCCATTTTAAAGTTAAAAGTAGTAGTAGCAACCTTTACCAAACTATTTTTTGTTTGATTGTGATAAAATATTTCTGGATGACAAAGTGGTTATTGTTGTCTGCATCCACAGCAAATTGTAGAAGCCAAGGACAAATCTCTACAGGAGCTGATGCAAAAGGTTTTTACTTTCTCAATGAATTGCATCATACAACATTTAATGGAAAAGCTATGATTAATTTATTAACTCAAAATGTGTGCTTTTTTTTTTTTAATATCACTTGTTATTAATCTGTATTTAATGTCTAATTCTAATTATACCTGTTTATAACAGATTAACAATCTGGAAATAGTCCAGTCTTCTTTAGAATCCAACAAACAGGAACTTGAGACCAAAATATCTGAGCTACAAACTAAAGTTGATGTACTAGTAAGTCTATTAAATATTGAGGTCATAAAACAACTTATTGTGTGCTCATAGATTTTTGACATTTAATATCACAATATCTTGTGCTTAAATAACAAAAGTTTAGCATTTTTATAAATTTGTTAACATAATTAATTTGTTTTCTCTGTATTTATTTTAAGATTGCCTGTTTGAGTTTTTAGAAGCTTTTTGATCATTAAATAATAGATGTGTTTTAACAAAGACTGAAATGCATTTGTTTTTATTTGACTGTCCCAGCTTCAAGATAAGAGTTCAACAGAGAAGAATTTGTCTGGGTCACTGCAAGCAGCAGAGTCTAAGCTTACAGAAGTCACTGCACAGCTGAAGGTAGCTAGAGCATCTTGTCTTGTATTAACTACATAGAAAGTAACGGGAATACTTAGTGTGTTACTTCCAAGAATTATTGAAATGTATGGACTAGCCAAGACCCCAGCTGACTAACCAGCAACCCAACTGACTAGTCAAAACACCAGCTGACTAGCCAATACACCAGCTGACTAGCAAAAACACCAACTCACTTGCCAAAACACCAACTGACTAGCCAAAACACCAACTCACTTGCCAAAACACCAACTCACTTGCCAAATCACCAGCTGACTAGCCAAAACACCAACTGACTAGTCAAAACACCAACTCACTTGCCAAAACACCAAATTACTTGCTAAAACACCAACTCAATTGCCAAAACAACAACTCACTTGCCAAAACACCAGCTGACTTTCAAGCATCTGAATGATCCTTACCTCCAAACAAAAATAATGTTGATATATTTTTTTAGCTGTAAAGAATTTTTTTTTTTTTGATACAGAGTACTGAAGAGAAACTTGAACGAATTGAAGTGAAAAATGAAGAGTTAAATCTGAAGCTGGATCAGAGAAATGAAGAGCTTAAAACAAGAACAGATGAACTGGAATCTGCCCGTAGCAGAGAAACTGAGTTAAACAATTCATTTGAAGAGCTCAGTGAGGTCAGATACTTTTTTTTTTTATCTCTATGTAATTTCTTGTACTGTTAAAATTAGAATTTATCAAATAATAGAACTGATAATTAAAGAATTGTTATACCATCCTTAAAGAATTTTATTGGTTTAATTTTTAATTTAGGGTTCAGATTTTTTATACAGGAAAAAACACACACACACATCTTATCAGTAATTGCCATAAAAAATTTTCACCTTGTTTTTTAAGGTTCGAAGTGCTATGAATGCACAAATGTTGGAACTGGACAGAGAGAAGAATGAAGCTGTTCAACTGAAGGAGACATTGTTGAAAGAAAAGGTAACAAGCCTAGATTTAAGTAAGATTAGAAAACACACACACCCCCGCAAAAATGGAGTTAAATTGTACCATGTGGAAAATCCATCTGTAGTCTGGAACTAAAACATTTTTAGCTTGTGTTGTACTTGTAATAAAATAATTATAATTTGGCTGTAGTGATGTAGTAAATAGTGAAATAACAGTATCAAGAGAATATTTTACATTTTCTGTAGGTTATTATAACGAGATCCATCTTACATTTTATACTAGCATAAGAATGCCATGTCATTCTACAATAAATATTTTCTAATAATAAAATATCTTGTTCAGCCCCCTTTCATTTGGTTTACATTAGAAAAGTCTTAAAGTGAATCACATTTAAATTGTTTAAATCATTAAAATATTTTTTAAAATATTTTTAAAAAACTTTTTAGTACCATGTTTAAAAATTAAGTTACATCCTGGACCAAAATTGTCATAATATGGTACTGTCACATGTGTGAAAATTGTTTTTGTAGAAGTGGGCAAAAAAATTTATTACAAGAATTTTAACAAAAAGCATAAAACCAGCCTAAAGAAAATTACGTAAATAGCACAAAGGAATTTTTACCCATAATTTCTACCAATTATTATCCCCATATTTCAAATTTTGTAAGAATAAATTTGTTAGCTCATTATTCAACATATCTGTACAAAAACATTCATTTATTTCTTGTCTTCTTATTTGTTAGGCTGCTCTGGAGCAAGAGAGGAATGATCTGCGAAAGTTGTTGACAGACACCGAAGCCCAAAGAAACCAATACCAGAAAGATGCTGAGTCACTGAAGTCATCACTGGAAACAGAGCAGGAAGAGAGAACCAATGTGATTCCCTTTACCATACAACTTCCATATATAAATCATAGATTAAGTTCATTTCATGTGTCAAGGGGAAGCGCAGGACACAATAAGTGAGAAAGAGACAATACAAATTTTAAAAATTCTCTAATGTGACACAAATGGCTCATGACCTTCTACAACTCAATCCACCATTGTGGTGGTTATCTTTTCTTAACATAACTTTTATTTTTATTCCATTTTGTTTAGTATTTAAAATATATTGTATTTTATTGTGGTTTTATTTGGTGTGTTGGTGTAATACAGCTATTGTCACTACGCTTTTTCTTTATCCTATAAGAGAGTGATGAATGAGTAAACCAGTCTTTAAGAAATCAAGATTTATCTCCAAAGGGGAAAAAAGTGATCATTTTTTTTTTTTTTTTAAAGCTTTTAATTTAATTCATAAGTTGTATTTTTTTTAATTTTAACAGTTTACAATACTGTAAATTTGTTTTTAAAACTTAATGTGTTGGTGTAATACAGCTATTTTCACTACGCTTTTTCTTTATCCTATAAGAGAGTGATGAATTAGTAAATCAGTCTTTAATAAATCAAGATTTATCTCCAAAGGGGAAAAAAGTGATCATTTTTTTTTTTTTTTTAAAGCTTTTAATTTAATTCATGAGTTGTATTGTTTCTAATTTTAACAGGTTACAATCCTGTAAATTTGTTCTAGAAACTTACAAACTCTGCTCCATTTTAGTGTTTGACCTGGGTCAAGGTTAGAGAGAAATTTCAGTCTCATCTCAGCTGGAAAATGTTTCCCCAGGACCATCTTGCATAATAATTACAAAGTTTATCTATAAATAATCATTTCATTTATCCATTTATTGTCCCTCAAAAAAAAAAAAAAGTTACTAGAATTTAGTAATTGAAATGTTCTTTGTTTAAAAGCCAAACTAATTCTTTCTGTGCAGGAAGTTTCTGGTCTGAAGGAGGCCAAAGATTTACTTATACAACAAAAAATGGAGATTCAAGCAGAGCTGCACAAAATACAAGGGGAGTCTGGAAGATTGAAAGATCAGTTCGATAAAATCAAGCAGGAGGGAGATGAAGTACAAATGATATTGCGTCAGGATAATTCAACATTGCAAGATAAATTGGTCAGTTCATTTGATTGTCATCAAGCTTTTCAACACCTGAACATAATTTTATGACCTGGAATATTCTGAAACTTCTGTTTCGTAATATGAGATATGTTTAATATGAGTATTTATTACTTGAACAGTTCTATTTACATCTTAACAATTTATAAACCATTATCTAAGTTATTGATGCTAATGTAAATTATAAAATGCTATATTTTTTAATGTCATAGTAAAATAATATTTAGCATTATTTTGCAGTGAGAGTTTAAATAGCCCTTTTAAATCTCTTTTTGGCAACTGAATTTTCTCCCTTGATAAATCTAAGTTTTTTCCCTTTGATAATCATATAAGCTTAAAAAAATATTTTTTGGGAATCGTAAAGCGAGTCCTTAACTCTCTGCAGTCCGACTATAGAGAAATGGTACATATAAGTACCATAGATTTTGTGGGTGGGTTATTTATTTTTTAACTTTTTTTTTTATTGAAAAAAATTATTTATTATATTTTAATAATTTGTTTCATTGGCTTAAGTATTTGTAAAAAAATTAAAATTATTACAAAATTTGAAATTACTATTTAAAAAAATATTTTTGGAAACTTATTCAGCGCGGAGTATCCCTTGAAAGCTTCGCAGATTTCCAAAAAAACAAAAAATATAAGTCTCACAAAAAAAATTAAATAGTAGTATGAATATTGTCAAATGATTTTAATTTCCCGATTTATCAAGGAGTTATTTGTTTGTCTAAAGCAATGTATCCAAATGGAGACTCTAATCATGAAATTTATCACGATTTGCATATAAAAGTACCGACTAATGCTATCGTAAACAAGTAAGCTTAATTTTAATTATCATTTCCCGACTTTAAAATTAATAATAAAACAATAAAGTGATATTTTTATAATTTTAATTGGCTGAAGTATATATTATCCATTTATACTTACATTGATGTATTCTATTTGAATTTTATTGAGTTTCAATAATTATATAATAAATAAATAGCGTCGCTATGCGAAATAAATATTTTAAAAAAATAGCGGAAAATTTCGGTCGATTGGAACTTGCGTAATTAAATAAATTTAAAGTTAAGGACTTCTGAGTTATTAACTAAATATATTTCTTTAAAATATGTTACAGCCAAGAATAATCTTCTAAATTTTCTAATATTGCATAGTAGAAATGTGTTTAAATTTAATTATCATTATCGCTAGTCACTAGTATTAGTAGAGACTACTGTCGGCAGAATAAAAAAAAAAACATTTATGTTTTTATTAAAAGCTCTCTAACTCTATTGGGAAGGAGGAGAGAGAGACAAAAATGCAGATATTGGATCAAGAAGCCCTTATTCCTTATTGATCCTAAATATTAAGCCTGGACTCCACCCTTTTACTGAGTTACAGAGTTACTGGATGAATATCTTTGAAGATTTTACCCTAAAAACAAGTGGTGGTAAGTTTTAATCTAATCACTTGGTAGCAAAATGCATAAAGAATAAACTCACAATATTGTTATAACATATGTTATAATGTATTTTCTATGTACAATGGTTTACTTTTATACTAATTTAGGCACTTGGACTAGGATTAATGGTATTTTCCCTTACTGATAGCATACCATTACTGATACCATTAGTGTTAATTTATTTATGAATCAATCAAATTTTTTTTTTCCACAGGTTCTTTATTGAGTGAATATTCCGTGGTGAAAAATCTTACCTAATCTTATGTAGAAATCAAGTCCAGGACAAGCTTTTATTTATCAAATATAATTATTATAATAAAACTGCAGACTGTTTTAAGAAATAATATTTGTTCAGAGTCCATAAATATAATTAAGGAATAATGTAGTTTATCAGCCTGTGTTATGTGAGGATTATAACAAAGATATATAAAAATGCCGGTACATGGGAAAAAATAGATCACATTAGTGAGGAATGGATTGTATTTGACATGTATATCAAAATTAGCATTATTGTACTGATACATTTTAATTTTTTTTAACTTTAACATCAGCGAATACCGCTATTTTAAAATTAAAAAAAAAAAAATTGACTCTTGTTTTGAGTTATTTATATATTCATCAAATTTTACTTAGTCATCTTTTACTCAAGAATTATTAAGAAATATATTTAATATACAAATCTATAAGCTATGAGACCCATTTTTTAAAATATATTACATACAAAACATAATTTTCATTAAAAGAAAAATTATAGTGCATTTTTTAGGAAAAAAAGACAAAATATAGGTTTTGCTAAAATGTTGACAACTTTTTGATTGTTCAAAGAATTTTTGTCATGTTTGACTATGAATTGTATAAGTTGATGAAGTATTTTATTTAAATAAATTTTAAATCTTTTATAACAAGGATTTTTTTTTTCCTTCATACTGTGTAAAGATTTGGTCAAATTTTTGCATAAAATGAAAAAAAATAATTCTCCAATAATGTTTCAATTATTTTTATAACTAAGAAAATAAAATATACAAAAAATATCTTATGATAGCTGAGTCAAAGATGAACAAGTTAATATATTTAACTGATCAGATCAGAGCTATTTCAGATCAGTTAATTAATTATTTTAAAAAATCACATTAAGATTTTTAAGAAATGTGAAAAAAACGTCAGACTGCAGAGAGTTAATAAAAAAATTATTATTAATATATTTCATTCATAATTTAATACCCCAGGTAAAGTCACATCTAAAAACTTTTGAAATGATGAACAAAAAGTCTTTGTTTTTATTAATTTTCTTTTATTAGACAAGTCAGAAGTCTCGTTTTGAAGCCTTACAGAAAGAGAAGGATGAAGCTGATGCCAGGTTTGAGATGCAATGTTCTCTTTTAAGTGAGAACTTGACCACCATCAGAGCTGACTATACCACTGCTGAAGCAAAATTAGATGAGTTGACCAAACTGACTGACCAGCTGCGGGGAGAGAAGCTAGGTACACCTTACAACTTCAATATGAAAAATATGATTTAATTAATGATTGGAAAGGGAACTTAGAGATCATTACCCAGCGCCTCCCCTACCAATTAACTAGAGATTTCTGTAAAAAATATTAGAAATGGAAATACAACTGAACAAATTTTCATCAGCTGCTCACAGGGGCTTTGTGCTTTTTACATGCTCTGCTATCAGCAAATGAATGCTCTTGTACATACATTTTATGACAGTGTTCTTTAAAAAAATTAATTTTAAATGTTTGAAACTTTAATTTTTCAGAACTGGAGGCTAAACTGGAAAACAACAATGATGAAAGACGGGTGCTTGTAGAAAGGTACTTCACTCTGATAATATTTGAAACATATTTGGGGGCAGACATTTTAATACATGAATATAAGTTTACTAAGTACATTATTCAAAGATTATTTACCAGGCTGGGACATTGAAACCATATTTTCTTTCACGCGTTCCCCCAGATGTGTAGCCAGTGAGAAAGAATGTGAAAAGCTGAGGGACAAAGTGGCAGAGCAACGTAGAAAATTAGAAGACATGCAGGCAGCTCTACAAGAGCTGGGTCGAGAAAACCAAACATTACAGGTGAGGAAACTAAACTTTACAGGTGAGGAAACTAAACTTTACAGGTGAGAAAACTAACCGGTAAGGAAACTAAACTTTACAGGTGAGGAAACTAAACGTTACAGGTGGAGAAACATGTCTTTGAAATTGTTTGTAACAGAAACTGTGTAACATTGCTATATAAACCTGGCATAGAAACTCATTTCATCCAATTGCAAGTTTTAATGCATCTGTTGTGTTTTGTGAACAATCATCTCTTATATATATTACGCTTCTGGTGTGACTCGTGGACTGCTTCCTAATGGACTGCTTCCTAATCAGCGAATTTGGTATTGAGAGTATATTAAAAATAATTCTAAATGTTTGAAAGAAAGTATGGTTCAATAATGAGTTCACTAGCGGGCAAAATATAATTCCCGATAACTACGCTAAATGATATAATTTATATTTATAAAACGCGTAATATTATCTTTTATGAAAATGAAATTGTCTCAAATTAAGTATCATGTAAAAAATGTTTGGTTTAAAAGTGGTTGGGACATTGTCGAGACGTTGAATCCGTTGTGTTGTAATTATTCACTCATGGCAATGAGTGTCTACTAGTCTACAATATAGCTAATATCAACAGTTACTAATACAACCAACGTTAACAGGTTTGTAGCTAGATAGGAGTTTATTTAACACTACTCGATGAACAAGACTTGATGTATAATTTCAGAATTTGATAATCAAATCACTCCAACCAAACATTACTCAATATACCAATCCAAACAATTCATCCAGTATATCCGCCATCAATTCTCTCAGCACAACAACCGCCATCTATTTTCTCTAACAACAACAGAAACTAACGAGTCACTTCCCACTACATAATTACGTCACAACACTCACACAAAAGATACAGCTACACATAAAATCTTTGACTAAACATCTTTTCCCTATCAAACATTGAAACAATAATCTACACATAACAACAGTGATTCTCATACCCTTGACAGACATCAGAATATTTAATAAAGTTCATGGGCGTGAAATAAAAAGTGTGCAGTGACGTATCATGGAGGGGAGGGGTGTAGCAAAAATTGGGATTCTTAAATGTGCGTTACTTGAGTTCATGTTTGTTAAGTAACTTTTAGTAGATCGGAAATTCACGCATTGTGTTCGCCAATGTTTGGCGGGTTATATCTAGTGTTATAAAATTAAATACTGTTGTAGATCAGTGTGGTCATTCTGTGTACATATTATTGTGTATCTCATGTTGGCCATGTGTAATTGAAGTGATATGTTGGCAGTTGGCAATGTTTAATGTAAAGAATGACAGATCAACGATTTTTCACCAATTCAAACTGATGTTGTTTTTCAGATAACTACAACAAAGGTCAAGACACGCAAGTGGGCAGATGACAGTGAGGTCACTGAGTGCACATCATGTGGGAAAATCTTTTCAGTAACCATTAGAAAGGTAAGCAGTATTTTGATTATGGAATTCATTTTTTCAAAAGTTTGAGATTTTATCTTAATTATTTAAAGAGGCTTAAATTTAAGGAAATCCGTGGCTCCTTTGGTTAAGGAATTATTTTTTTATGGTGGAGGTGTGGGATATTTATTACATGCAGCTAAAGATTAGAAGTAAAATATATTGCATAATTCAATATGCAGAAAGTAATATTTCTGTGCATACATATGTGCTCCCCAAAACTCTTATAAGCACTCACATGCGACAGGCAGCCCAATTTATCTTTGATACATATGTTAATAAGTAGCCTATTAAATTATTTTGATTTTCACAAAAATCTAAAATTGATAATCACAAAGTAAGAAGAAAAAAAACATTTTGAACTAAAGATTTGGAATGCCTCATCTTATGTGTGTGACAAATAATTTAACCCTGTCAACTGCCAGCTGGTTGTCAAATTTTAACTTGTCACAGATCACACCCACCACCAGCTGTATACTTTAGCAGTAATCAGTACTTTTAAGACATCCATCACCACCAACTTTCTCTCCCCTTCCATTTCCACAGCACCACTGCAGGAATTGTGGTCTGATTTTCTGTAATGAGTGTTCAGCCAAAACAGCTCAAGTTCCCACAGTGAAGAAACCCGCCAGGGTCTGCACTCCATGCTTCACTGAGCTCAACTCAAGAAAATAGTTTTACAATTTTTTCACTTGTATTTTTGTTTCAAAAGGCTCAGTTTACAAAGAACAAATTCCTCGTCTCCAGTTTCAGTTGGTATGTAAATAAATGTACATTTATATATTGATGTAATAATATTATAAACAAAAATATAAAGGGTCTTTTGGTCTCGGATATAACAGTGGTTTAGGCAGAAAAAATTAACGGTGATTATTGTGAATATAATACTATTAATACTTTCAAATTGTCCATTCCAGTTTTATTTTGTTGTTCTTTTCCCACATTTCTTATCTTGTAAATAAAACGTTAATGTTAAAAATGGTAATGTTGATATAAATATAGAAAAGTTACATTGACAGTGATACAAAGAAAACATGTTGTCCTTGACATCATGTCACAATAATGCTAATACAATTTATTCAGCCATAGCAATTACATGAAACATTATTGAAAGCATTTTTATTTTCTTGTTAGAAACATATTTGTGATAATTATTTGTGATGGCCTTTCAGTAGAGCATATTCTGTTGGAGAGTTTTGTAAGTCTCTCTAAAGCAGCAGTTCTCAACCTTTCTTATGCGGCAACCCTTTTATACAGTTCCCCAAGTTGTGGTGATCCCCCAACCATAAAATTATTTTCGTTGCTACTGCATAACTGTAGATTATATGTATTTTCCGATAGTCTTAGGCGATCCCTGTGAAAGGGTCATTCGACCCCCAAGGGGGACAACCCACTGGTTGAAAACGGCTGCTCTAAAGGATGGATGTGTTTTAAAGGCTCAGTTAGACACGCAGTCACATAGGAGTCCCAATTTTTATTTAACTATGTTTGTGATGAGACAATAATTTTTGGGGAGAATGTCAAAGTTCATGCTCAGCAGAGATTGTAGCCTCTGCATTTTTCAGCTAGTTACCTTCCATCACATGGTGCATTTATTGATGTTGTGTTCATTCACTTTCGCCACAGAACTTCCCACAGTGTTGCTGTATACAGGGTCAGTCAGCTTCAGTCATTTAGTAACTTATTGGAGCTCATTGGTTGTTAATTATACAGGTTTTATTTGTCAACAAATATTTAGTTGAATGAAAAACAATTTTTTTAACTAAGAAAATAAAGAATGTTAGATTATTTCTACAATCTTTTACTGGTGGATAAAATATTTTGCAACCCGTGCAATAGCCAGAGTTGGCATACTAAGCCATTTTAGTACACCCTGCTAGCTATCAATGAATTTTATATTTTTTAAATTATAGTGATGCCTCGTCTGTCACGGGTTTCAGGTTCCAGACACACCCCTCCCCCACACACACACACACATTAGGCAAAAATCTGCAAAGCAGCAACCTTATATTTCATTGATTATTTATCCATATTTTAAGGCTTTATGAATCCTCCCTACACTCAGCTGTACGCTGCATATTTTATTTTCATTTAATATTATTTTAAATATATTTTTTTATATTGTTTTCAATTTTTTGGGCTTATTTTACTACAAAAATAATTAGAATAATAAATACATAAAAATACCTATATGCCGCAAAATCTCGCAATATAGTGTAAAATGCAAGATACAAAATTAGATGTGTATATATACACAAAATTTTTGTGATAAAGTGAGACCACGAAAAGTAAACCCATGATAGATGAGGGATCGCTGTACATGCTATTTTAGAAACTTTTTCGATATGTTTTTAAGTGACACCAAATATGGGTCCACCATTTTTCTTCCTTTTTATTGTCAAGTCAAAGCAATTCTAATTTTTATACCAGCTGGCTGTAACTCTATCAAACCATATTTTGTGTTGGTACTGGCCTGTAACACGATCAAAACATTTTTTATGTTTCAACTGGCCTGTAAACATCAAACCGTGTTTTATGATGGCAATGGCCCGTAACTTGTTAAAATCATGTTTTGTATTGGTACTGGTAGCTCTCGAAATGTACATACCATAAGGTGAAATATTTTAGGCTTTTAAAAAATATATTTTCACAGCAGTTGTCATAAATAAAATTTATTGTTATAGTTGTTCAATGTAAAGTTGGGTTAAGTTAATAAACAAGCATCATTCTGTAACACAAATTCTGACTTTGTGTTACATGATAAAATGTTTAGACAATACAATTGTATCTCTCATTAGTCAACTGTATTGTGATATTTATTAAATAAATTTGTCCAATTATGTTTATTATTTATCATCTGTTTCTTGTAAATAGCAACCTCACCCACTAAATTATTGGTGACACAAAAATATGCCATAATATTTGAGTGGCCCGCATTTTTGTGTCTATAATATAAGAAATGTAATCAATTTACCCAGCAGAATGTGTACACAATGAGCTTATATTTGCAGTGTTTTTTTAATTGTCTTTGCTTATCAACCATACTCAGCTCGATGCCATCTCAAATCAATTCTTGCCGTACATATTTTATCATTGTATGTGAAGTTTGATCTTAATTGTTTATATATTTTTATGATGATCATTGTATGTGATGTTTTAAATTGACTTTTTTATTTTATTTTATTTTAATTTTGAGATCATAAAAATTAGCCAAGCTTGTTAAGTATCTGAAATAATTTTTTTTTTTTAATGCACTTTCTGATTACATGCTCATAAATGGGTGTGTTTGCATTGGAACTTTAACCCTAGAATTAGATATTAATTTCTCTCAGATGTATGTTGTTCTTTTTAAAATTTCTTTACTGAATTTAGTGATATCTTTAGATTGGTAGATATTTTAAATGGAATTAAAGTTTGGCCAGTCTTCACTGGAATATAACATATTCTTAATCATAGTCAGGGCTGTGGCCCTTGCATCATAGTGAACAAAAGTTGATCACAAAAAATAGGTGCAGGGATTTGGACATACCATGTTGTTTTATAACAGCATTTAATATTGATACATTGAACCCATTTAAACATGGGTTGTATTGCAAAACGTTGATGTAATGGAATACAAATCAATTTAAATAAGTTTATTTGTGACATTTAAAGTATTAAAAATAATATTGGCCGTTCAATGGTGTGTGGAATAAATTTAGTCTTTAGAGTGTGTAGTAAGGTAATAAATATTTTTAAAAAACAATGTATTGTTATATCATAATTATTTGAGCAAGTTATGAATGAACTGGTCACAATCTACTTTAGATACTAAAGACCTACCTTAGAGTCTAAAGACCTACCTTAGAGTCTAAAGACCTACCTTAGAGTCTTAAGACCTACCTTAGAGTCTAAAGACCTACCTTAGAGTCTAAAGACCTACCTTACAGTAAAAACCTGTAGCACCATTTGTCACAGCTGACAGTGGCAGGGAAAGTAACTAGACATAAGTTTTAATTACAAACATCTTGGTCACTTTGATGTAGCATTGGGTCTTGCTCTATCCAGAAACATTCCATCTATTTATACTGCACACTTGAAGAACAATAACCCGAACCACTAAGACTTTCTAAATATATTGTTCATAAAGTTTTGTTTACCTCATCAAATTAAAATTGTTCAGTAAAGTGTATGTTTTTATTTTACCTTGGACAAAAATAAAGTGAATTCTTATCTCAGTTTTAACAATACTAATTTGCAGTTAATTTATAAGAGCTTTGAAAAATGAACTATTTTAAATCATGACCTGTGTATATTTTTTTTTCTTCATTTTTTAAATACTGTTGGAAAAATAATTTCCTTAAAACAGGTTCATCCAACTTTTTATCTCATTATCAAATGACTCTTATCATTTTATTTTTTCAAGTAAAAGTACTCAACAGTTTTAACATCACCAACACACAACACATTTTTTATATTTTTTTAAATAATTAGACGCAAGTGAAAAACAAAGTCTTTTGTTGTTTTTCCATTTGAAAATGCGCATTACTGTGTCTCAAATATCGAATAATCATTTTTCTCAATTTCCATAGTCCATGATAAGTTTTGACAGATGGGATCAAATAGATGGTATATCTTATTCATTGCAATATCTTGCATTTAAAATCATTGCATCCAACAATGGTTATTTATTGCTGGGGATGTATTTCTGAATAACGATTACAATATCTACTTGGTGATTCCAACTTTGAACTGATACAAATAATCTTGTACTTTGACTGTTGGGCATTTTTTTAAGCACAGTCAATAAGTAAATCAATAACCAATATTAAATCATTTTTATAAAAGTCAATTCCAGCTTTGTGGGCTAGTGATTTGTAAATAAACTATGAATTGAACTAAGGAGTATGTCTACCTTTGATGTAAACTTTGTGAATGTAACAAGCTTTCTTCACAATAAAAAATATTCCATTCAGGTCAGTTCTCTTTTTAGAAATAAAATACTGAAGAGATGTTAGCAAGTACCTGTATTTCAAGTGCCAATTCATTTTTCTTTTTTTCTTTTCTCTCTCTCTCACTTTAGAAGATTCTGTTCACTATTAGCACTTTTTTGTTTCTTCTCTCTCTCACTTTAGATGATACTGATCACTATTTGCACATTTTTTTCTCCTATCAATGGCCTGTCTATAACAGTTTTGTCATTTTATATTAGCCCATGTCCTAATTGTGTCCCCTCTATGTTAGCTCATTTTATCATCTTATCATCATCCTGTTATCATCCTATTGTAGCCAATGTTATTTACATATATTGAGCAGATTATTTTCAAAAGTATAAATAAATAAATAATAGTAAGTGAATGCTTGTAGATAATGTTTATTCATTCCATGTACTTTCTGTTTTATGTTGCATCTTTGTTACAAGTACATCTGAGAGCAGTTGACAGTAAAAGTTAAATCAGAGAGCAGTTGACAATACAAGTAAATTTAATCAGAGAGCAGTTGACAATATTATTATTATTAAGTGGATTTGTATTGCTCAGTACCCCAGCCTAGGGCCAGGCTCATTGCGCTTCACATAAAAGTTAGCAAGTACAGAAGCGTATACATTTAAAAACAACAATTGGTGAAAAGCTTGACCCCACCCACCCAAGTGCTATCTACCATTGTCCAACCATTGACCCCACCCACCCAAGTGCTATCTACCCCTGTCTAGCCATGGACAGCACCCAGCGTAATCAAGCATTGTTTATCAATTAGAGGAGATAAGAATGAGTGGATATAATACAGTTTGAAGAGATGGGTCTTGAGGGTAGTTTTGAATTCTGTGATGGTTGTTATATTGCGGATGTGTAATGGGAGAGAATTCCATCGTTTTGGGGCGCAGAAAAATAAAGATTGTTCACCATATGTTTTAGTGCGTGTTCTGGGAACAGAAAGAATATGCATGTCTGTGGAGAAACGAAGCTTTCGAAGGGTGGTGGATAGACAGTAAGAAGTTCAGTAAGATAGGAAGGGTAGGAACCAGAGAAAATTGACAGAGAACAGACAGCTTGAAATCAATGCGTGCCTGTAAAAGGAGCCAATGAAGTGTGTGAAGTAGTGGAGTGATGTGATTATGTTTCTTTGCCTTAAGAACTAACTAGCAGATGAGTTATGAACTTAGTGCAGTTTTTCTATGTATTGTCTTGGTGAACCTGACAGAAGAGAGTTACAATAGTCAAGGCGAGAGAGAACAAGAGCACCAAGGAGCAGTTGATAATACAAGTAAAATAAATCAGAGAGCAGTTGAAAATACAAGTAAATTAAATCAGAGAGCAGTTGAAAATACAAGTAAATTAATCAGATAGCAGTTGACAATACAAATACATCAGATAGCAGTTGACAATACAAATACATCAGATAGCAGTTGACAATACAAATACATCAGATAGCAGTTGACAATACAAATACATCAGATAGCAGTTGACAATACAAATACATCAGAAAGCAGTTGATAATACAAATACATCAGAGAGCAGTTGACAATACAAATACATCAGAAAGCAGTTGACAATACAAATACATCGAGAGCAGTTGACAATACAAATACATCAGATAGCAGTTGACAATACAAGTACATCAGAGAACAATTGACAACACAAGTAAATTAAAGCAAAAGGCAATTCAAAGCAAAAATAAGTAGATGCTATAAAGTCAGTGTTTCCATTAAGCTGTCTATATAAAAAAATGTATGCATGGCATTTTGTAAAGTAAAAGCCATCTAGGTAGAACTCTTGGACCATAGTCATCAAGAAGTTAACAACTACTTTCACACATTTACTTCCACGGAATTGCTTTTTTTTTTTTTAAATTAACTAATACCCATGATTATGACCGTAGTATCTATGACTAACTCAGTTTGGTTTCCATTTTCATTTAAAAACACATTATTTGAAACATTCCACAGGGCTGTGTTTATAATGCAAAACAAATTTCCATTTAGCAATATTAACAAAACAGTAACTTTCACACATTTACTTCCACGGAATTGCTTTTTTTTTTTTTTAAATTAACTAATACCCATGATTATGACCGTAGTATCTATGACTAACTCAGTT